TTAGTACTAGCATAATTTGGAATATTAAATATTCAAAATAAAATTATCGTATTAATGATTCAAATGTAATAAAAAATTCAATAAATCATTATAATTATATTATAGTAATATTTAACTATAATTGAGGGTAGTACAATATTTTTCAATGAAATCATTAGAATTTCGATATCATGTAATATCATTAACATCATTTACATGTTATCGTGAATTTTTATCTTTAACCTTCGGACACAATCGTCAAGTGGACACGGAAAAACTGCAATTATATAGCCATTAAGGCTTCAGATAGAAGAATACGATATTATAAAATTTTATATCCTCCAAAAGAATTTTACTTATTAATTATAAAGGGATAATTTTCTTTTTTTCGATAATTTCATACAATAAATAGTTCAAATACTATGTTAATAAATAAAGTGTGACATTTTCAGTATAGTGTATCGTAGAAATCTACGAATCTTCGTAGATGTCTACGAAATTTAGTAGCAATATACTTGATAGGTTACGTAGTAGAAAAAATTAGAGCAAATAGTGTAATTAATAAAGACATATTATCTAAGAAAAACTATTCAGTGAATATTATTTTGTAAGATGTTCATTAATTCTATACTAATTGTAAGTTGTTTTTCGTGTTCCTAACAGTTGTTCAATCAATTCAAAATAACACACAAGTAAATACCAGTTAGAAACTTGTAATGAGAATAGAACTATGTATACACATACCGAACTAGGAAGTTCCATCAAATAATGTGAACCGCGGAACGTTTATGTTCCTGCATTATTAATTTTAGTTACGTATTTTCAACTTGCTTATTAATGTTATGGATATTAAATAAAATTACTGAAAATGTGTTACAACTGCAACATAGACTAACTAAGAAAAAATCCTTTGATATGAATTATTTTCCTAAGTCAAAACAAATTGTTGTATTGTTCTTTCATAAGCTTCGACAGAACTTGTCATGACATAAAATAAATTTATCTATATACATACATGTCATAAAATATTACATTTCTATACTCCTATCAGCCTGCTTACTGACATTTTGGATATTAAATAAAATGACTAAAACTGCCTTATAACTACAACTTAGAAAAAATCCTTTACTATAACTTATACTTAAACTCAAATTAAATCGTAGTATTCTTTCATAAGCTTCGACAGAATTTGACTTAAATTTTGTCATGTCTTAAATGAAACTAATATATTTCGGATGTACTATGTACGCGATTTTTATTTTTGATAAAAACTACATACTCGGGAGTAGTAAAATGGCGTAGTACATCCGAAAAATATAAGTTTCATTTAAATGAATACTCGCGAAAATCTTAGATCTCATTTTGTCATGTCTTATCATTCAAATAAATAAAAATTAAATTCATCTCATAAAATATCAAATTTCTATTTAATTTTTTAACCCGTAATAACAAATTAAACATTATATACATTCTGAGAAACCTTAACTTGAAATCCATTCGAAGATATTCTCTTTGGGAGTATTCGCTGAAAGAATTTTTATATTCCCCTCAACAAACAAAACCTCTGACGAATTTGCATTGTACGAAACTTTTATCTTTTGTAAAAGAAAAACAAAATTTGCCTTTGTTGTTTTATTCCCATTGTAGGAATAGCTTAATTATTAATATATTTGCCAATGATGAAAAACATAATTTAATTATTCATATTATTTGAATTAATTCAAATAATAATTTATAAATTTATTTTTAGATATAATGAAATAAATGCATTGAAGCCTAAGAAGAATCATAAACGGTCGTCGTTTGAATTTCGCTGAAAATTACAAAGGAATTACGTATATTACCAATTACTGTAATGCAAGTCTTTAAGAAAATTTAAGAAAATTAAATTCAACCGTATTCTTAATGGAATAAGAACGTTTATCACAAGCTAATGATAGATATGCGTTTAATACGTAGTTATGGTCACATAAGCATTTCCTTGGCCATTAAACACAGAGAACGGGCTTTTAGTGCACTTTATCACATTTCATAGTATTTATCTGAAGGGAATGCTTTATATGGTGCTGTTATCACGAGTGACGTCACTACGACTCTTCAATATGTACCAAAAAGGTTTTATATAATATTATACCAAAGAGTTTTTATATAATCGATTTGTTGTTACAAAGAGATCGTATAACTTCAGCGCTTTCTATTCATGTATTGTTGATCAGTGATAAAATTTCCTTTGTGTAATTACTCAATACTCATTCCGATTGATTTTTATATTATAATATATAAATTATAATATGAGATATATGAGTCTAAGTACTCAGATATTTCATCAAGTGTTACTTTAGTTAAGTGAAGCCCTGAAGGTAACTAATCTTACAATATCCTGACTAGTCGATATTTGAGCTTTTTTTAAATTCCTGCTATTATCTTTTTTATATTACTGCATTTCTATATTAGTCATACATGATGTTCAATTTAGCTTATTTATTTAGAAATTCGTAAGCGTATCTTTTAACTGAACTACAATTCATTGATTTCTCATAAGTATATTTACAAAGGTAAATAAAAAACCTTTTATAAAATTCAGGCCAGAACAATCTGTTTTTTAAACATTTAATTACATAAATGGTTTTATTTCCGACTTTCTCTTTTCAGCGTAAATATTTTAAAATAAATTCAGTGCTTTTTATAAGGGACTGACGTTTTGCTGCGAGTGGCCAAAGAATGGTGATGATTTAAATATAAGAGAAAATAGAAATAATAAGAAATTAGTGTATAAATTTCAAACCAATTACCAAGTAAATTCGAAGCAAATAAATAATAGTATTAATATACTCACGATACATGTTTTTTCTTGTATATGTAGTATTCTAGTATCAATCAAATCGTTAGTAATTCAACGAGTTCCGTGATTACCGTCCGTTGCCAGCCACGCCCCTCTTAACAAGACTACTGGCGCGAACAGATTATAAAGTCTAAATACTTTTTCATTTGATAGATATATATTCTACTTATTAATGTCTATAGTAACAATTTCGTCATTTAATAATATTTAGGATTAATTTTATCAACGTCTACTCTGTTTAGTTTAGTTTTTAAACCATAACTTTTGAAAATAACTGAGAGACTTTAAAAAGCATTATAACCAAAATACATCTGTTAGAATAAATTATATTATAAATGAATATTTAATATACGAAAATTGTATTGAAAATTAATATTAAAATGAAGTAGTTTACTATAAATATAATAAAATTAATAGGTCAAATGTACATCAAACACGTCATTCATATTGTGTTCGTTAAAAAAAATCGAATAGAAAAATTTCATTCATTCAATTGAAATGACATGAATCAAATGAATTTTTCATCTTTTATCGAAATAAATGAAGGTATAGGCTGACCATGACCCTTTTACATGACTAAATAAATAATTTTATACGTTTCATTGTTATTAGAAATCAAAATGACAGATACAATGACGTATTCAATAACTGTTTTATGTATTTGGTAACACTGATGTTGTGTAGTTTATATATGTTTATATTAAATAATTATATGTTTTTCGTTACTACAATACTAGCTACTATTGATTACTTTATGAATTCTTTATACCATTGGTAATGAAGACAAAACACAAAACGTGAGAATAACGGAAAGTAAATATTTGAATTTTAATTATTAAAGCCATTGAATACATAAAAATGTGTTATGATAAGACTTCTATCGGCTTTTAAGTGAAGATTTTATAAAGAATATATTATTTTGATACGATATTATTTAATTATATCGTACGTATATTTATAGAGGTCACATAAATCATCAATTCCACTGTAAGTTACACAACCGTCAGGTCACTTAGCACCCATTTACAATGTTTAGGGTAGAAAGTGGAAGGGTCAGAGCGATTATGGCTGTTTCGATAAATACACCCACAATATATCACCATTGACCCAGATTGATTCAGTAATGAAAATTTTGAAACGTCAAATTGTATATGAAACAAATTTACTATAAAATGACAACTGACGTCAAATAGGGAGGTCTATTAACGAAATAAAAAAAAACAATCAATCATTACGAAACCGACATAATAAAAGTATATATGTGAAAGAAACGTAATCTATATAAGTATCCTTTCAGAATAAATACATTAACTTTGCTGTCGGTACACGAACATAAACCTATAATTTACTTCAATGTATGTACAACGTCAACAGTGTAGCATTAATAAAATGCTTACACCTAAAACATTTTATGAGGAATCAAATTCTCTATATTTAAGTGCCATTTTCATGGCGCATGGTAAAATACCGACAAGATGGCGAGATGTACCCGTGTGATAACGACCTATTCTTATCAAAGTTGAATACTATAAAAATTATATTACAAATAACATATGTACATACTAGTATACTAATTTATTTTAAATAAAACGTAGTTCATTTCTTATGTTATAATACAGAAATAAGGTTGCCATAAAACAAAACCGTTTATGCAAAATGAAATTCCCTTCACTTGTAAATTGACACCCCTTGTAATTTCAAACCGACCTGTTTGAAAGTCGTAGGCTTTCAGACAATCAACTTGTAATGAAGCGCCGTATTTAAATTTAATCAATACGTCTCAATAGATACTGAAACTGAATTCCGGCGCCATCAAGGAAACCGTTAAGGAAAGGTGAATTAAGACGTTCGTTTTGGCGCCTCACTTATAACTATTAATACAGTTATTACAAAAATATTTGATGAGGAGAGAGAAAAAAGTAGTTTTAAGCGATTGAATTTACATAATTTACTAATATTTTATGAACTTTACGTCATTAAAGACTGAAGACATGATATATCAAAAGAGGACATATAATTCTAATTTCACAATTCCTATGCCTCATCGAATTTGGGCGTAGAGAGGTCCAGGAAAATTCACTGGCTGGAGGAGCTAGTGAGGCCTTGCTAAGCGGGGTCGTCGAACGGCGTCGTCCGGGAGGGGCGATGGTTTCGGCGCGTTATCGATCGTATCGCATACCTTCCTGCGGCCGCAGCAGAGCATCCTCCGAGCTCGCGACTGTCCGCCCGGCGAAGACTTCAACCTGGTCAGTTTTCGCCACTGCATCGGTACAGTTAGCGCGGCGCTTGCGGGGGCGGCCGCGCTGGCTGCAGGTCGCGCATCGCGTCGCTTTCCTGGTCGCGCCTCGGACGCGGCCGGAGCGCGCGAGCCTTCCCCGCGGTATGCCCGCCTCACATCCGCGCATGCGCCTCACTACAACCACCTACCCCCCATTTACTCCGATTAATAATTCCGTCTACGCTGCCAGTGCGTATGTGGGTTAGTTTTTTGGCGATCGATGTGATTATTCGGTGTAAGCTTCCGCTACACCTCGATGCAACCGCCAGACGACCCATTAATCGCATTTGGACATCCACTGATAGGGGAAATGTAACCTTCTCTCGTTGGATTATAGATTCGTTTCGTTGACCTAGATGAGATGACATAATTAGCTGTATGAATAGAAAATTATTACTACCAACGCTTGCAAGTTATTTTTAATAGTTTACAACTTTTAACTAGTAGTAGTAACTAGTGTGTAAAGTAGAAATACCGGTTAGCAGTTACATTTTATAATATTTTTTCTCAATAAATATTCGTCATTAATAAATGCTCATTTCAAGTAATAGAAACAGTTAAATGTATGGATATCAACATAAACTGTGTTTAATATTCATAGATAACACAAAAAGTTCTACGAAATGGTTGCAATTAAAGGGCTTTAAAATTGAATACATTGTTAGGATGATATTAAGCCACTACAAGGTATAACTTTCACAAACCACATAAAGAGCCGGCAAACCACATAAGTACATAAGGGTTTTGGAGTTGTAAAACGCACCCTTGCTTGTCCGCTACTTTGGTACATACATAACATTTTGTTAATAAGACATTACATCATGTAGAACATAAGATTTTCTTTTGAATGATATAATATTACTTCTAAAATTAGAACTTCCTATCATACTTACATAATATCCCTTTCTTTTTTTATTTTATACATTCGTATAATAATGAGCAATGTAAACAACCTTAACATAAAATACAATCTAAAGTAAGGTCTTAATCTGGAAATGGCGTGGTGTCCCCTACAAGAATTGATTAGGGCAATTTAGTAAATTGTTTTCATTTTCTTTTTCACTAGCTAAGTTCCGCTAAAAGCATTTCACGGTACCGTTTAGACTTAAAATTCAATGATCATGATAAAATCAGAACATTTGTAAGTGTGAAATTTATATCCTACTGAGACCTTCAGCCTTCATTCCATTCTGAAGCTTTCGGGAGTCATTGACAGATGTGGATAGCATTCCTTCATATTCTACACATCATTCTTTAAGATTTCTCGCATAATAAGGTTTCGCAACATGAAAAATCATCGAGTTAATGGGGAATAAATAAAGAATAAATAAAATTATTCGTTTGGTAAGGTATTGGGGACGGGCTTTAATAAATAAGACATTTATAACAAAAACATTGCGTGAGTTAATTTACATAGAGAAGAATAATATTTCTTTCTGTCCTTGATTATGCTTTCTAGAATATTGTGAAAAAGAGCTAAACTTAAGCGTTTATACTGTTAAATTTAGGTATATTTTTTAAAGCGTTAAGTTTATTTTTGTTTTACGCAAACGTGACCATGTGGTATTATTTTACGCAAAATTCAAGTTTGACCTTCTAAGTGCCTATGACCGTTCAATTCATTCCTTCAAAAACGTACTTTTTAGCATTTGCCGAGAATCTTTTTTTTTTATGTTAACTGTTGTCGCACATGAAATTTCTTTTTTGTCAAATTAAAAATATGTATATAATTTTTAAAAGTCAAATCAAAACTCGTTTCCTCTAATATTTTACCAAACATTCAACCTACAGAATCATGTTCATTACGAATGTATCATTAGTTCATATTTGTTTCTGTATCTTATTGTAACTTACTTATTATATTATTAATGCACGTATATAAGTTATCTATTTACGCGTATATACCTATTAAAAGTTCTAAAACTTATTTATAGAATTTGATTGCGAAATAAAGTCATTGTCCTAAATGCGACCTGATCCCGTTTAATACAATTTACATGCAAACAACAGATACAAAAAAATTGTTTCTCTTTGAAAATTCTACCATTGGAAAATATCCAAGCATTTATTGGGTGTAAAAAGGAATTCCCTGGCATTCGGCTGTAAGCGGCGAGCTACTGAATGTATGTGATAAAGAATGTTTTACTGGTGCCTAGCCTCAGACCAAAGCACGGAAATTTGTAATTCTAGTAGGCCTTTTTTATTAACTCCCGTTTTAAAATAAAGCTATGACGGATAATATAAAGCTACCAGCTAATGTTATTTAGATTTTTAAGGAATGTCACTTTTTATTTCAATAAAGGAGCCTATTTGAAGTCTTACAGAAACTCATAATTTTGCATTATCAATAAACCTTGGTTATAATATCATAGCTTTCGAAAAAAATACATATAACACATGCTTTTTTAAACGGAATCTGTCCGTTTATTTGTAATAAATAATTTATTTATTAATTTATAAGCTAATAACTATTAATTAAACTATATGTTGTTATTACTATGATTATATTTGTAGAAGAATACCTACTTAAAATTCTATAAACTTTTCAACCTTGACATTTTAAGGTTTAAAATTAAGGTTTATATTCAATTCCGTTTTCGTATTAAAAATTTAGGATTATGATAGTTATTACCTCTATCGTCTTTCTTATGGAAACGTTAGAGCGAGTTGAATTTTATTTTTTTATAAGAAAATTATTACATAATATAACTTTTGTGTTAAAACAACTTAATAATTTATGAAATACAATTGATTAAAAAAGCGAGGGAAGAACAATTTGTGGTTAGGTGCATCTAGCCTTCATTAAATTATGTATGATATCATGTTGTAACCAGAGATATTTAAAATTTTACGTTGATATTTAGCGAGTAGTTAATTAAAAGTTTTTTCTACATGTAAGCTTCAAGTAAAAACGGGTCAAGCGCTGCAAGTTTAAAATATTAGAGAGAAATAAGTTAGTTAAGTTAAGGGATATTTTTAAATACGAGGATTTTTATGCTGCTATCATTTTGTTTTGGTAAAATATAAATTATCATCTTTTTTGAAAATTTAAATCTATTAAAAATTTATAACTTATATTTCAAAATGTACTTACACTGTAAACAAATGTCATTCTTTAAGTTTTTTTTATAGTGTCACAAACATTTTTTTTTTCCTTCCTTAGCTAATTTTGTTTACTATTCGGTACATTAAAAATTCATATCATTATGAAATAATATATTTAAAGAAAACAAGATTATATAATACCTACTATTAGTTTTAGATGTAAAAACCATTTTATAAAAAAAGATATATGTCCTTATTCAGAGCAAAACACAAACAAACAAAAAAGAGGAGTTCATGTAAACATAACTTTGTGTTTCAAGAGTTGAATATTTGAAAAATATCGGACTTTTTTGACATTCTACAATCATTTTTTAAAACCTGTGCCCTGAAGGAAGGAAAGGAAGTTATGGTTGATTTAGGGGACCATTTTTAAAGGGAAATAGTCTACTTGTTGAATATTCTAATACTCACACATAACAGCAAAACAAAATAACAATGACTAAGTTTTACTTTGTTATGAATGTTTATATCAAATTATAAGTAGTTATTAGTTTTTTGCTTCTAGTCCCCGTTCCTCATCAGCGATTAAAAGTAACCAAATAAAATAATTAACCTTCTGTTATAATTAAAGTACATAATGATGTTTCCATCAGTAGTGGTCAATTTTACCTAAACACTTAAGGCACAAAAAACTAATACTGTTATGTATTAAATCATAGAATGCTTGGAATATAAGTTGACGATTAGTTAAAATGAAACAACATTTTAGCATAAACATATATTTATGTTATATCTTACATTTATCAATACATTAGTATATAAATATTCAGATACAGATGCAGAAAAGATTATGTTTGTTGATTTGCTTCTCGTAAATGTGCCCACGGATCTTGAAGCATCGAAGGATGTAGGTATGCATCAATGCCTTGATCTCTATTGTAGCTGTTGTTAGAATCACTCTATAAAATAAAAAATTTTATTAATAACTAAACTATATAGGATGCATAAACATATAAAAATATTGTATCAATAAGTATAACTATTTAGGTTTTATGCATGATTTCAGCGATTTAATTGATAAATCCCTAACAAGAGCAAATTGTAGTAGTTTTTTTTTTATTTAGTATAAAAATATCCAGGACAAAGCTTCCAAACTATTTTTTCATCAAACACATCACATTCAATATTTAAATATTACAAATAATATGTGTAGACACCTGCATATTTACTCAATTTTTTCCTATTTTAAGTGTTTCTATTTTAATGACCGAGTGCTTCCCTAAAACAACCGGTGATTATATATGTACATGAGGGTAAAAAACTATTTAACCTTTTGTTTCGATTTGTCTAATGCTGTTAGGCTTAATGGCTTTGATAGTGTTACCGAGAGGGGCATTTAATCAGTAATGAATCTAAAAGTTTTGTCATGGAAATTATATTTTATATTGTTACTTACTCCAAAACTGTTACTATGATGAGAATTATTTGACCAGCTTCTGTGATTTCGACCGTGCCTACGTCTGTTATTTTTCTGCTGCCAATTGTTTTGATAACTGTTTTGCTGTGAATGACCTCTCTGTTGCCATCTTCCTTGAACTGGAGTACTTTGATTTAAAGGTATAAAATCGTCAGACATGATATTGAAATCAAATACTTAATTTAAAAATTATGTTCTTTAGACGACCACCATGGAATATATAAACAAAATGTCTAATACAATGGAAAATATGAACATAATATATGTTATATCTGAAATATTACTTTAATAAAAACAATTACAAATTTTCTTTTATAACTTTACGATTTTTAATATTGTAATCAACAAATTTACAACTTAATCGTTTAAACTTTACGTTCAAATGCAGTGAATAGTGTTTTGAAATTTGACATTTGTATTGACACAGTGACGTTAATCTTTTTTTTTTGCTTGATAATAAACAAAGATAGAAAGGCAATATACCTACGGTTACAACCAAAGTGTTTCCAAAATATAATGTTAAACATAATGTAACAACTTTGAAAAAAATGGACAATTAAAGGTTATTATTATAAATATAATTTAAACCCAAAACTCCAAAATATCTCAACACGTTTGATTCAATCAAATTAAATCTAATTTTTTTTCCATAATGAAAAAAATTGTTGCGTATATATATATATATACATTTCTTTATTTACCTTTTAAGCAAAAAGCAACTTGTTATGAAATATAATTGTATATTGAATATGAAGCAACTTGTTATGAAATATAATTGTATACTATAGCCATTCAAAATACAATTTTATAAAAACTTCATACCTTTTCGGAATTTCTTCTTTTAAAAATAATTGAATAAAGGCTTTAAAATGAGGCCATAATACATATTAACAAAAATCATTTATGAGATGAAAACTTAAAAAGAGAGTAAATTATAATGTCCATCTAAATATAATTCAAAATCAGGGCTTGTGAGAAAAAATATTAGGGTTTGAGCTATGAAAGGTTCACATTTATAATTTAAAACTTTCGTGAAATTATGATACATTTCCTATTTAAAGACAATACTTTAAATAGCAACCTTAAATACCACGACTCCAAATCAGTAAAAAAAAAATAAAAGATTAAAACCTTTCCGAAGGCCACAGGCAAAAACAATAGTTATTTGGTCACTTAATCATTTTATTAAATCTTGTTTCTTTTGTACCTAGTAACAATGATTTAGCTCAGAGGTAGTGGTTTATTGTGAGTTTCGGAAGTCGTAGATAGTAAGATGTGGATTCCATCGAAATCTCCTAAATTGGCAGTCGGTAAGTTTGACGTTTGTATGTAATCTTACATCCTGCAGCTACAGGAAATGTAAATACATGTTATGAATTTTAAATATAGTACCTAATTTTAATTGATTTTTTTAAATCCTTTAGTAATTAATTTAAACCTTATGGTATTTATGTCATAAGTTTTAATTAGTTTGTTAGTATAATGCTTTCAATGTGCTGCTTAATTATAAATAAATAACATTAATTTTAACTAATCATCATTGCTTTCGTAGAAACATAGAATTTTTTCCTGTTATAGAGTGATTTACGAAGTTTATTATGTAGTATACCGTGATATTGAAATGTAAATAAATAACAATGAAAATTAAAAATACGAAAAAAAATTATGAATAAGATAATCATATAACATGATAAACACTTCAAGGAAATGAAGCTCGATTTAAATATAAGGAAATGCAGATCTGCATATTAAATACAGATTGACATAGAAAAGTTCTATTGAACCTTTTGTGTTAGTTGTTAGTAAAGTAGGTTGTAAAATTTGCAAAAATGCTACAGTAACAAGATGTATAAAATGCTAAACAATAATCAAAATTCAAAAATAGGCAATCAAAATCAATACAGAATATTAGAAAATAATTTTTAAAATTGTAGTTAATTTTTATTATATTATATTTATATGTAAATAGAATCATTTATTTTTTTATTATAATTCTTAAAATTCAAAGCAAGTTATTTAATATTTAAAGAAATTGTCTTTATTCATGGGAATGTAAACAAGGCAAAGAACATAATTGCTTTTCCTATGATCATTATTAAAAATTCAAAGTTAACGTATTTGCCAGTGCTACTATTTGTTGTGTTACAACATTATTTTGTTATTGCAAAAGGAAATTTATTTAAGAATCCATCATTTATTTGTTAGTTACTTTTAATTCATCATATTTTTCTTTTATATCAAAATTATGAAACTGATTTTTATATCTTTATGTTTCTAGGAATATTATATGATTTGTTTTAACTGATTTTGTTCTAATCCTCAAACTGAGCAACAGGAAGTAACTAGTTACTTATGTGAATATAATACACAGTGCGTAATTTGCTTTATTTCCTGTCATCAATTAAAATTCTAACAGTTACTCAGTTGAAAATTGTGACACACTTGTATGGCCTTATTTGTTTACTTCCAAAACTAGCAAAAGTAGTAATGGCTTGAAAATATAGTTTGAAAATATGTATCTATTTGGATAGCATTTCAGTATTCCAATGTTGAGCTTACATGATGTGATGTTTCACTTTTGAAGCAGCTTAAGCCTATATAAATTATTTAAATTGCATAGCAGCATTTTAATAATATTGCCCAATGACTTTGTTGTATTAGATATTAGATTTCTTTTATAAAATTAAGAAGTAAAATATTCATATTATGATGTAAATCATTCAATTCAAGAATCAGTTGATACTGCTGTTGTAGTAGAGACACATTAAGAATATATATTTCAAATAATCTAAATATTTATTAAATAAAATGTCACAATTTTGTTGCTATATACTGTATTGTATTGTACTGTTCCTCTTTTTCTATGCAGATCTGAGCTTCATTCATTATAAAACAATATTTTTAAGTCTTTTTAATATGTAATACCAATGAGAACGAAGATTGAAATCAAAATTAAATGCTTAAATATTATTCCTTTGAATAGATAAATAATATAATATGGAAAGGGCTACAACAATCTATGTACTTGCCTTGTGTACAATAATTATGATGAATGTCATTTGATCCTTATTGCAAAGGTATAAACCAGTGTCAGGGTAGCGAAGATCACTTGACACTTGTAATAAAGGTTTTATTGTTCTATACAAAGAATGAGTAATGTTAAATATTTTTATGTAATTCCTAATTACTTATGTTTATGTAGACATGATCTTTTATGTACAGTTTATATAATTTACTTTGCATATATAAAATTATTTTGTTATAATGTAAGAGTGGAATTATTATGGATTTTTATATTTAAGAAAGGTTTTTGTATATTCTTATGTTAAATAATGTATTGTTTGCAGCTGTCTACAACTGGAAGGGAGATGTTCGTTCAGGACTGCCGCTTGAGATTGGAGAAACAGTACAAATATTGGAAGAAAATGGAGGTGAATATATTTTTTATGCAGTCCTTAGTTAAAAATTATTGTATACTATGATATGTTTAAAATCTAATATAATATAGTAGCATTCTTAGTACATACTCAAAAATTTATCTCTGTATTCATACAAGTAGAATTGTAATATTGTTACATTAAGTTAAAAAAAAACTTTGCTAAAATCTACCACTATCACATTGGAATATAGTATTTATGTGTTATAATTCATCCAGTATTCAAACTGTTAGCTTCCATCGTTCCAACACCTACGGGATATTTAGTTATCGTCTATCCTGGCTGCTAAACTACTACATATACTACCACAGCATACAAAACTGAGGCATTTCAGTAATAATTTTGAACATTTAAAACAATATTCAGTCAGTGGTGGCCTAGTGGTTAAAGGGCCAGCCTCTCACTGCCGAGGGCGCGAGTTCAAACCTGGCAAGCACCAATGTGATTTTTCGGAGTCATATTCTTTCTGAGAGTATTTAGACATAACTGACATATGGTGAAGGAAAATACCGTGAGGAAACCTGGACTTATAGTTTCAGAATTATAATTTTGAAATCACCAACCCGTCTTGAGCAAGCATGGTGATTAATGCTCAAACCTTCTCCATGTGAGAAAGAGGCCTTTGGTCAACAGTGGGCTTCTGATAGGCTGATGACACAAATCAATATTTATTGCAGGTTGGTACCGTGGGTTCAGTACAAAGAACAGGTCAGCTTGGGGTATTTTCCCAAGTTGTGTGGTGTCAATCCGTCCGTGTACTGTAAAAGGTACTGGCGCCGCGGCGATAGCTGAACTAAAAGATGATCCACTCGTACGGGAGATTGCTTGCGTATTGAGAGAATGGGCTCGGCTTTGGAAGAAGCTTTATGTGGTATGTAACTATAGTTATTTATAAATTCATAAAAAACAATGAAATTTTATTGGCAGTGATCGGATTCGAACCTGCTACTAACTGCATATCAGGTTCCAACCTCTTTGAAAATTGAGCTATATGGGTCTACGTAAGACGTAGTATCATATTGTTATTTTTATAAGAAAACATTACTTATTGACTTTAACCAGACATGAAATGAACTTGGAATGTACATTTGTTGTTAAAAACGTATTCTTTTAATATGTTATATCTTTATCTGTTCATCTAAATACGCACTTCAAAACTTAAATAAACGTTCTCAGAAAATCAACAAAAATGTGACGTGAAATGAGATTAGAATTTCAAATATGTATTTACCAGTTTCTTTGTTCATTAGCTGATTCATACTTATCGATGCATTAATAGAGGTTGAAATGACTGCTCAGTTTACGTTAATTGCTAATGGGCTGAGATCTTAGATAATACTTGTAAAGCTACAGACTTATTCGTCTTGAAATACAACAGCTCGAATGTCGACTAAGTATGGTTTCTAACTTTGCAAAGGCTATGTGGATCGAATTTCATGATCATCAAATAGTTTTAAAGGCAGGTTAAAAACATCATTAGGACTAATACTATAATCAACTAGTCATCTACTTTGGTTAAATCCTTGATGTGGAAATATAAACTTCGTAGAAAAATTGTTTACGTAAACAATATACCATCTGCTGCCTGATCCGAATATCAGATAAATTAGTTCATGTCTGGATATCATAAAATGGTTAGAAAGCATGACTGAATTATTATAACAATATAGCGGATGTCTGGTACCATGCGGAAAATATTTATATTTGATTTAAGGCTAGGAAAGTTGCCTTGATAAATGATCCGTTTACTTCATTAAAAGGTTTTTTTTTTGAGAAATATTATATGCTTCAGGATGAGGTAAAAACCTTCCTTAGAAATAAATAACGGACTTACTATTTTTATTAAGATGAATTTTATAAAAATAAGAAAATCACGTGTTAAAATCCATATCAGATAATAAGATATAAATTTGAAAGTATAATTATAGCCTAACAATAAAGTCATATGTAAATTACTCTGAAAACATAATTGTCATAAATGTAAATTAAACTCATGAAAACTTTTGAGACTCATCCCTTCTGCCCGTGATCACGGTTGCTGAAAAGTAACCGAAATGTCTAGAGAATGTAGATTTTTTTAAATTATAAAGTACCTACGCCTAGTAAACCGAAAAATATTAATTTAATTTGGATGTATTCTCGCGAAAGTCTGTGATCTTATTTTGTTATGACTGTCATGAAAGCAATAATTGATGACTCAGGAGCGGGAGACGTACCGGTTCACAACAGTCGCGAAGGTGATGAGGGAACTGTTGAGCGGTCGTCGCGCTTTGTTGACGGGGACGCTGACACAGGACCAGACCAGGGCCTTGAGGCTGAGGCTCGTCGGGAAACTTGACTGGGGCAACCGGTGAGTTACGTAGTTTTATCATGATTATCATACACATGACTATTAGCGATAGTATAAGATAGTATTAACAGATAAAGTTGAGGGCGCAGGTTCGATCCTGGCCCGGGCAAGTACCAATGTGATTTTTCCGTGTCATTTGTACTTTCTAAGAATATTTAGACATCACTGATTAATGCTGATTCCCAAAAGAGAGTTGATGTCAGGCAGGCTGCCGGACGTAAAAAACAATTAGCCTAAACTATTCACAATATGTAAGGCAGACCCTGGCTATAGCCGGGAAATTGCCAGGTAGAAGAAGAAGTAGTACCAGATAAAGTGGACGGAGAATAAAGTAAAATTTTATCAAGATTACCATCCAGGGTACTGTTAGCGATAGTTAAGGATATTAGTACCAGATAAAGTGGACGGAGAATAAAGTAAAATTTTATCATGATTACTATTCAGTCATCTTAGAGGTCGTTTAGGGTGTTAGTACATACTAATATCATGAATTTTGGATAAAGAAGATTTTTATAATGATTACCGTATACAGGCCTGTTAGCGATAGTTTAAAATACTGAAACTGATATAATAGAGGGAGATTTAGGTAAAATAAGGGAGATTTAGGTAAAATTTCATCATGATTACCATCCACATGCATGTTAGTGATAGTTTACGGTTGGAGTGCTAATAACATGAATGGAGAATAAAGTAAAAATGTATTATGATGACCATTCTCAAGCCTCTTAGCGACGAGTAAAGTAAAATTTTATTATGATGACCATTGTTACGCCTCTTAGCGATAGCTTAGAATATTAGTACCTGATATCGTGGACTGAGAATATAGTAAAATTTTATAATGATTACCGTCGAAAGGCCTATTACGATAGTTTTGGATATGTAGTGCTTGATATCGTGAACTGAGAATAAAGTATATTTTTATCATGATTATCATCGACAGGTCTGCTTGCGTTAGTTTAGAACATTAATTCTAATGTTATGAATGGAGAATAAAGCAAAATTTTATCGTGATTACCATTCATAGGTGTCTTGGTGGCAATAGCCTCTTATCATGACATTTTTTTACAATTATTTATCCTCTAGTAGATGGATAAGCTGCGAAGAATATTTTATGTTGATATTACACGTAAAAAATATAACTTAGATGAAGTGACTCGAGTAGTATGAACTGGTAAGTTATTAAGGCATGTAAGACTTGGGTTAGTTTTTATTTAGATGTGAGAAATCGGAAAGGAGAATTTTCGTTTAACATGGTTTATCCTTAAATTCAATGACCCTGTTTCACACACTTCTTTATGTAACGTATTTACCTACCGATTAATTATTTTTCGTAGGTTTTTTGTGCAATTCCCACATAACGTTCATATTTTTATTCTTAGTTTACATAAGAAATAATTTCCTATATAAACTTTTTACGGAAACCTCATTGGATTTCTAAAATTTCTGTAAGAGTTGTGAAATTTCTCATTAGTTGATCATTTCAATTGTAGATAAAATAATTAATATTAATTGATCTAAGGTTTGTTTCTCAATGCCACTATTCTATATTCTTCCTTATCTCGTTTTTTATTTTTTTAATTAACATAAGGTAATTAAATAAAACAACTTTAATATTTTTTTATATTGTTTAATTCGTAGATAACATAAGAAAAAACTTATCCGAAGAAAAAAAATTGTCACAAGAACAGCCTTGCTTATACGCTATAAGAACTAATATTATTATGGGAATGACATATCATTTTATTTCTTATTCAACTATATATTTCTAATAGTATGAATTCATATAATTATCGAGATTAAAGATGTGCATGGGATTTAAACCAATAAAATCTATTACTATTTTATAAATGTACACTTAACACAACTCTTATAACATGTATACTGGGGCTTAAAATATGTTGGAAGATGCGATATCGGAGATTCATGGAAGTCCATTGAAAGATCTTAAATCTAAATGGCTAAATTGACTTTAATAACAACTTAGATCTAAACTAATTTATAGGAGGAATCCTAAGGAATGAATTATCAGTTTACTTTATTGAAATGCATCTGTCTTGACGTAATTCCGAAATAGATGTAATGGCACAATATTTTGAGTAAAATATTCGATTATGACGACATCTATTCAAACACCATGTCTTTTGCACCAAAATTCTTAATCTAAACAATAATAATCAATAATCGTAAAATAAAAGGCAAGTAAAATTTTTTTACTATACAAATGGAAACGTTTGTACTTTTAATACATTTAAATTTTACTCGTCTTTTTGTTATGAAAGAGATATTTATTTATAGTATACCTTATATTTATAAACATTGAAATTAAAAAAATATATAGTTTCACACTTTGAATGTATTCATCAATTTTTAGCTGATATGTATGCGATCAGTTGTCTTAAAAGTATGTTACAATATAATATATGTTTTCAATTGTACACAATACTACATTTATTCAGACTACACGAATATTATTTTATTGTCACAGTTGCTTTGATTTTGTCCTAGTTGTCAAATATATCTAAACAATACAGTCTTCGAAGTCGAAAAACGTATTTGTTTCATATCCAATAGTTACTAATGCGTATAATATTTTACTAACACAAACCTTCAATGTCATTAAAAATGTCTTAAAATATTGAGACCTCAATTTTAAAGCTGCGGCTTTAATTACTAAGGCAAAATGCGGCTGATTGTGTAATCAACAATATGGCCTACATAAAGGAATGTCATGTTCAATAAAATCGTTTTTTTTTTGCATCATTGCAATTTTTAAAAGCAACACTTGGTTATCGAATATGGCCTCGATACATCAATTGAGAAATCAAAGAAGGAACAATCGGTATGTATTTAGGTTTTTCTCAAAGAATGTGCGGAGGCCTCTAGGTTTTGGGTGGTAAAAGTGTCGCTTACTTTTTACGTCTCAGTCTCCTTGGCGAATTTGTCGATATCGGGATAGATCGGTGCCATTTCCAATGTAGAGGGTGCCGATGGTGGATTACAACCCAGGATAAGACGACGTGATAGTTCATCTAACACTTCGCCATAAACACGAAGTGAAATATTCTGACCGAGTAGGTGTAGCAGCAGGAAATCTCCGACCTGTAATGGGAAAGATATGTCTTACTTATTGAGATATAAGAAACAATCGTGATATTTCATTACCAAGTCATTTTTATATTTGTTATACATTAAAAATTGTATCAAACCTGAGTTCTCTTAACGAGGGCCTCTACTCCATTTGGAGATCCGAATCTAAAGCGACGTTTGAGAATAGTTTCACGTGTACTTGGCAGAAGGATGACTGCTGCTGAATACACGATAGCCAGGCCGGATACGACAGACAGAATAATAAACCTGCAACAATCACACTAAACTAATAACATTGAAATAGTTACGGTCAAAGTAGGTTCAAAAACCGTTCCAAGGTTGCTCACAATTGAGGATCCAGATGTTAACATGCTCAAACATCATGTTCAAAGTCACGTAACAATTAAAAAGATTTAATAATAATTAAATACATGTAAACGCTTACTCACCAAAACCAAAGGAATATGAAGATTTTTTCATTGAGGATGTTTAAAGCAAGAACGCACAATGCGTCATGCTTCTGAATAGTTCCAGAAGCTCCGTATTTGTGGAAGGTACATTTTGTGATTCGCGGGAATACCTCAATCTAGAATAAAATTATTTATTATTTCAAGTCATTAATTTCTATTACATAATATGTATATTTAAACAATAATTACCATAGGATCAGTTCTTTGTTCTTGATTCATATTAGAGAACCTCACGACATCGGTACCGTAAGACAAGAAAGCACCGCCAAGGAATGCGTCCAAGAAGAATATGTTGCCGACCTACATCATAAATTACATTAATGATATCCACTTAAGACATAATTCTACTCGTTATTGTTGAATACTCACCACATTGACGAAATTGAGGACTTCACAGAAGAAATATCCGAATGAATAGGTGTTGTGCATGTGAAGCGTATCGTACAGGTATTGAACTAAACGGTTCTGAAATTGCAAAAAAGACAAACTATTACAAAAATCTATGAATCTAATCTTTGAGTAATGTTTAATTATATAACGCCAGAGACCATGTCGAGATCAATTGTTAGGGCCGTCGTTTTACATGTCCGTAATATTATCTTAATTACTTCAATTGGAGTTTCTGGTCAGCAAATGAGAGTACATTAGTAATGGAATTTCTAGATTGTCCCAACACATTAAGATAGTGTAGTTTAAACATATGCTTCGGGAAATTTTATTTGTATTTATGTAATATGTAGTGTATATGTATATGTTTACCTGGCGGTTAGTTTTGTCGTCGGCAATGATAGCAGTTGTTCCACGCATTCCATCAGAGATCATGCGGACCTTGCCTTCTTCCCAGTTCTTCCAGATCCAGTGAGGAATGTAGAAAAGAAGACCCTGGATATTAACTCAAATAAGTTTGTTTTTCGAAACGATACTAAGTCATTAAACTCGGAACATGAAAATAATACAATAAACCAGTTTTTCTCAGGCTAACCTTATTTTTTTGTGACTAAGAAATACAAAAAAAGCTTTTAGTATGCGTATTAAATTTATGAGATCAGATAAGTTTTTGTGAACATAAAAGTATATATTGTTATAAACAATTTAAAGTAGTTTACCTGGAAGAATAGCATGAACGGCACCCATTGGTAGTACGAATGTATTTTTTTCTCTTCATCGTAGTCGTTTCCAAGACCAGGGTGAGCCACTCCTTTAGCTCCGCTGTATGGTAGTGTGAAAGTATAGGTAATCCAGCAGTATGTGTTGAGGACATGAGCCGGTACAGCGCCATCACTTATACAAGATATCGGGTCACCTAAAACAAAAACAGTCTGTATAAAACTCTATAAAGTAAAAACAAACAATACTACATTATTATCGGTTATACATATATGATATGTGATATAAGAGGATGTATAATTCCACTCTCGTCCTCGACATTGAGCTGCGTGCGGATGACATTAATGTATAGTATAATGCAGCTTGCCCCAACCTACTTCATTATACTGGCCATGAACCGATCACTTTAATAACAGAACATTACAAAACATTCGATTTTCCAATATTAAATATTTATATGAGAATATAAAAGCATTTATGAATGAGAACGTCTCGTATGCCATTTCTCGTTATTCCCATTTCGTAGAAATTTAACAATGGAAATACATTTACAAACTCTCGGAAACAAAGCCGTTATTGAAGTAAGCAGTCCTTTTTCGGTTTCGTAATGATTGTTCGAAAAGCTTCATATTTATGTCAGCGCAACTGGTTTCCCGTTTTCATTATTTCCAATATATTGTCATACGACATTGAGTCAAATGTAATACATATAGTTTAACTGAGGCGCGTCCCAACGTCGTATTACGTACGTGACAATGCGGGCTTTGACTATTATCTAATATTAAACCTACTTAACACAAACTCGGATAGTTTGAGTCAATACACATTTTTGTTTCGACTTTATTATTATATGTTAAATCAGGTATAATTTTTCTTATACTTTCAACTGCGGCGAAAAGCTTACATGAATGAACTGTTCTGAATACTTAGAACGTAAGTGCCAATTAAACCTCATCGTTGTTGCTAATTGTCCTATAACGAGCACTTATCATATAGTCTTACGTTTAGCGCCAATATTTATTGTGAATGAAAAGATGCGTACATTGTCGCGGAACACCCTACCAATTATTTTTTTCATAAACTTCTTTTTGCCAAAAACATAATCTTATGCAACGGATAGGATTTGTCATTATGTTAATGTCTCATACTCGTTTTGGCGATATATAAAGAATCACAAAGGTAAAGACAAGTTGAAAGCAATAGTTTGGAGTAACTAAATGTTTGGAATGGCCATAATATACACAGTAAATATGATTTTCAATGTACCAAGATAATAAACGTAACCAGGTCATCTCTGCTATGGTAATTACTAAGCAACATACGGGCGACATCTGATGGAAAGGTTAATTGCTTACGTACGTGTCATTGGCTGAGATATTTCATCTGTCTCAATCAGTAAATTATTTATGGCATAGTACTGTTACAAGTATCAGACAATCAATGGCGTATTTGGAATTATAGTGACTAAGTACATCAACTATGAGTGTTATAATATATCAATCGGTTACAAGTTACCAACTTTCGGTCAGACAATTGTGTTTTAAGGTCGAATCTAAAGTTACTTAGAGTTAGATTTCTAGTTCATTTGTGGGTCACGGTAAACCTGAGTCGAGATGGTTTGATACACGTGTCTTAAAACTAATATTACTTCTTATTCACTAATAAAAATAATTATAACAAATAAAAAAAAAGCAATCGTTGTTGGTAAACCTTTTTGCTATGATTTCTAATTGTCATTGGCAGTTTCAGTATTGCGTAAAATGAGGATAAATTATTATTATTATTCAGCGATAAATAAAGTACCCTAATGTTTTAAACTCAATGCTATAAATAAGAAGCAAATTTGCAATTAAATTGATTAATCAGTAATAATAATATTTCATTAAAAAAATATGGTAAACGAATTTATCTCGTGTTGCAACTTAGCGTCCTATGACATTTATAAGGAAGGTTTTTTATGACTTAACATAGCCGTATAAAGACTTAACCTACATTATTCCATATCGATACTCTTTGCTACGGTCCGGTTGTTTATCGCAAATTATGCAAAGGTTTTGATTACAACCACCTGGCCTGCGGTTGCATTAACACAACGTGCAACGTTGCATTGTTTGTTTTCATGCTGAGGCACAACGTCTTGTATGTAACTCTATATTTTATTAAACATTTTCACCAAATAAAGTATTGAGTACATACCAGATAACAGAGTTGGTTATACAAAATTCGTTTTAGCATTCAAAACAACAACATTTAAACATTAAGATTTAAAATTATTATTGACTACTAACATTGGTTTATGGCCAACTGACTAAATTTATGGATGTTTGTTTTAGAAGACAATTGATAAATTTATAAGCTAGCTAACAAAGAGCGGTTTTGCAAGCTACAGGATACTAAAAATCCTTTGGTGTGAAATATTTAAATACATGACTCATTAAATATGTTTAGAAACAGGTAAAAGGATTTTCAGAAACAGATATTAGTCATTCATGCACAACTTAAATTCTCGTTATATTTCAATATATCATTGTGTAACTTTTTAACTGGTATTATTATAACATTTCAACGTGACCTACTGCAATTATGCCATAAATGTATTGTTTTATCTTCGTATAATTATTTTAAACGATTTTATGTTCAAGAAATAATCTGTACGAATAAAAACTGTTCTTACGCTTGAATGCAATGTGAGATATTACGGAGATTGCAAACTGAGAATATAATTTAACATAGATTGTTGGCATAGTTAATTTAGAGATAATCAATATTTATATCGTATACATAATTGTTAATCTTGAAATTAAGTTTACCAAATTGTTTTTTATGAATGGGTTAACATTTTACTAAATTGCCCAAATTCATTTAAAATGTCACGTAGTGTGTAATTCATTGAGTAACATTCGGCACCGCAAAAAACCACTTGAGGCTTTTCTTTTTTTATATCTTTTTTAGCGTTTCATATTTTGTTATAAATATTTCATTTATTTTTATATAAAGAACAATATTATCTTTAAAATTTATTTGGTGAACCACTGCACCTAAAGTCGTTCTATATGATTTAAGCTGCTAAAGTTATATATAAAGTTACTTCCTACCGTATAGTTTCATTTAATAACAGCGAACATAAAGTGTCACATCTGGCCCATACGTGTAGTGTAATAAACACTAAATTTAAAATGTTTTATGACGGGATGGTTCTTTATGTAAGTCGGTAGTTCAGTGGCCGAATGATTTCAATGATTCGAACCTTATCACGGGCGTAACAAATGTTTGTGTACACAAATTATATTGTACATGACGTCTGAATTTAGGTAACTGTTACATCTCTATGGAACTCACTGTGAGTCATTTTTTTTTACCGTATACCATTCGCAGACTGTTATTCTTGAGGTTACTTGGTCTGGGTCAGGTTTTGATAATTAATGCGGAATGTGTTAGAATTAAAACATGCATTCATTTAACTGTAGCTTTCTATTTTACTACCGCAACTTTTATTTATTTTTTCCTTATGTTTCGTTGGTTCTTAACGTTTATATCAATATTAATTGTAAGGTTATCATGTGAGAAATAGTATAATAGATAATTAATTACTCACCAATAAGATTATTAGCGGTGACAAGGATGCAGGCCAGGAACATGATGGCAGATGTGATTCTGTAGTGCATCCGAAAGACCATGTTGTCAATAACGGCCTTGTCGATCAGGTAGCGGACTTTTACAAAGCCCGCGACCGCTGAGGCTAAGCCGAATATAGCCATCTTGAGTTTGTCTTCTCACTGGAACAATGTTATAACATAAATTGTAGCTATTTGACTCTTCACAAAATTATTTATAGCACGTACAATGGCCACTATTAGGGAAATACTAGAAATAAATCCGAGACGAGGGCTATGCGTTATTCATGCCGAATAAAGTTGAACGGTAGTTTTGTGTGCGCGGTACGTTTCTGTGCTTGGAAGCGTTCGAATATTTTTCTATTTTAAAATTCGTATATCAATGTTTACATGGCACACATTTATTGATATGAGAAATGTAAATGTTCGACAGTTACTCACTTGTTGACGATTCGTTCTTATTAATTCGAAGTACCGTTAATACGACTTAAAACTTGGCTTGTTTAAAATCAATGACCTCATATAAACTTTGCTGCCTATAGACCACGTGACGAAAACATGGTCCAAAGTTTTTATAGAGTTTGTTTTTTTTCACCCATATCATACAATCACGTATATAAGTCCTGTATGAATAAACAACTAACGACCATAATGAGTGGCAATTCATCACAAATGGATCCAGCCTTGGCGACTTCTTGATCCCGTTCCTACGCGGTGTCTCGTGTCTAAGCAATTGTTGTGGGAGAAGAAGAATTAAGAGATATTGGTGTCGTCCTCAATTCCTATAGCAGTGCAGTGATGATAAAATTATGACATATGTGTTTATGGAATTCTGTCTCGATGGCATCTGAATATAGTACGCGAGTATGATCCCATAAATGTTCACGATCTCATAGGATTAACCCTGGTTGCGGCGAAGGCGGAATGGTGCGCTAGCACAGGGCCTCTAGGTCGTCGACCTGCCTCTGCTCGCCTCCTGCGTTTTCAACCCCCCCTCTCCTCCCGTCCAACCTCCCTCGGTCGTGTCTGATGCACCGCATGGCAACGCAAATTTACACGGAAACCAGTTTACGAGTCTGTCTCGTTTCAAACAGATATTGTCGTCGTTTTCTATCCGCATGTCGTTCCGTTCATTTATATCTCGTAACTATTATTCTTGGGTGATTTATAAATTAATTGACTATATTCTGAACTGTTTATGTAATGTTCATAACATATTATTGTATAATTTTCTTTTACATTTCCAACGAGTTTCTGAGTTATTACTTAAACACAGATTGTTTCGATAAGACTGAGCTGATAGTTAAATGAGAATTCCAAGTGTAACGATTCTATGGATATGATTTTAAAAAACATTCGTTTAAAAATATATATTATTAAGAATGTCATAAATTTGTTATCGTACTAAAAATTTTATGTCTATGATGGAATGTTTAAGCTGAAAGGTATATTTAACTGGTATCAAGCTTGTGTATACAGCTGCTCTGGCACGAGACTTCTCTAGCAGTGATTAAGAGAAACACATTCGAACAGCTGTAATAGTTATTCGTGGGAAACATTAAAGAATCCAATGTTTTATATTTCTTAATAATTAATATCCACACACATTATAAAGTGCACACCCTATAGGTAACTAATTACTGATCATTCCTTATGTGTTAGTGTACGTAGTAAATGCCAAGTTATTATTGTTTTTCTCATTGCCTTTTTATGTCTGATATAACATTCTCATGGCCTGTTATTTTTGTCTTACATATTATTGTATGTATGTATAAATCCGTCTGTTTGATGTTACTACATCCAGTTTATAGCTATTTATCTACTAATCTACGTGATCTCTCACCGCGGGCCGGACGATGACGTCTCGATATAATTAACTCCATTGACTATTCCGTTGCACGTTGTTTGGCTCTAGTAGAAATTTAGAAAAACAACGTCGGATTATTATTGTGACTAACCTTCCGTAATATTGAGAGAAAATTGATTAAGATCTATTATCGCTATAAGGCAAATATCAATGCTATAATTTCTATTTATATCTTTTTTTTCTTATTTCTGCTATGAATTATTATATATAATATTTAATTTTAATAAATAATATCTGAAGGTCTCTTAGCTGGAAGCCTTTATATATATGTATATGTATATTTTGTCAACGGCTGGACAAAGATAAGCTAAGTCCGTATTGGTCATAGCATCCGTCGTTTTTTATCGATATGTCATTATTTACATCACTGACTCCAAGTATCGATGTACGGAAATACGCTTTAGAACTAGATTGTGGTTTTGAGGAAGGGATTAGATTCCCTACTCATTAATACGGTGAATTGTTTTCCGATTAAATCTTAAAATTTTCTTACAACAATTATCTATTTTTGTATTTGATTGAGCGTTGCATTTTAGAAGCATTTCCAAAAAGCGATATTGTATAATTCACTTAAAGAGTATAATTCGTATCTTAGGTTAGAATGAATGTAATTTAATACGAAAATATTTCTTACGATCAATTATTATGATGACCGAACTCGATGTCAACATGATACTTATCCTACAGATGTCCCGTTATCAAAGGTCAAAGTTTCGATTGATCAAGATACAAGTAGCGTATTGTAAAACTTTTAAACATTCGTACTGTATACTCAGTGCACTTTGGAGTTGTATTATGCATAATGATTCATCGCTTGACAAAGGAGAAGTTTTTTGTATATAATGTTATTTCATATCAAGAGACTTGACTTAATTTTTTTTATACTTCTCTTATTACTCGTATCTTAGGAGTCACATGTCCAACACGTGTATGGTCAACATCTGTTTTGCTTTGAACTGATGGTAATTAATTTGTTTTGTGTTGTACAATATTATGTAATATGACGCTTATTTCTATCATTGAAATGTTAAAATTTAATTCCTTAAGAAGTTATTATAAGAAAGTTGTAGTGTATTGCATTTTAACAAGACAAAATAATGAACTGAAAATTGAGAACGAATGTTCTCAATTGTTACGAATATAAAACAGTATTAAAATACAAAGAAAAGTTTGCTTAAAATAATATTTAACTTGTCCGTCTTAGTTATATTTTCTTTTCCAACATCTAGTTCCTCTATTGGATCGTAACAAAATTATATAAAAAACAAATTTCACGGTAAATTAACTTGATTAATTCAAAAATAAACGTATTATGGACGGTCATACATATTAAATACATTGTTATAACTTTTCACGTATCTTTAAAGTTACATCTAATAATTTTGGCTGACTTAAGTAATATTGTATTACATGGGTTTTTTAGATATGGCTTATCGAGTATAACTATGCAGGTGGGAATCGTCCGTGACAAGAATCCCTTGTTTGTGACCTGTTGAAGATATGCTCAACGTCCGTACAATGAACTACATACTGAATATCTACGTAATTATCTTAATTTATGCTCAGCGATTACAATTACAATATGTTAATTTAAACATATGATTTTAGAATGGATTTTACAATTTGTTTATTTATATGTTATGTATAAACAAGATCTTTATGAAATAAAAATGTAGTTATATTTATTTCTAGTTGAAGTTATTATTCAGTAATAAAAATAATGTAAGTATGGGAACGAGGACTGTACGAGAATTAATTTCTAGTCGCGTTCTACGTATTGTAATTTATTTAAATAAGTTTCGGGAATCTGTGTTCTGTGCGAACGGAACCTGAATAAAATAAAATATCGATGATTATTTCGTTGTCTTTGTGAATTGAAATTTTTTGATCGTATTGTGTAAGCGTTGTCCGCGTAAACGTGTCTTAAAGATTGTTGGTTGGTTCATATTACATGTATCGTGTTCAAACTCTCATGATTTACTCGTATCTCGCTTTATTACTTGCATACTCTTAAATGCGCTATTCTATTCGTGTTAAAGCAATTTATTTTTTAATTTAAAACTGAATTTTAATTTTGCCGTTTTATATCCGGGTTGTTTAATTTATTCTTTGTTAATTATTATTATTGTTTGGTCTCTATGAAGTTATAAACATTGACACTGAGGTGAATTTTCTAGATTGATAGTAATTAAATTATCGTTATAATTTAATCGTCATTATTCTAAATAGTTTTAATGGTAATCACTAAGAAATTATATAAGCAGAATGGTTCAAATACCTACAAAGTGATTGCTTTGTAAAAATTTTAACAACCCTCAGTATTTATGTAGTAATAATAACAAATAACTCGTTTTTTTTAGTTTAATCTATTCATAAAGTTCTTGGTAAAGGTGTAGCGTCCCTTCCCGTTTCAGGTACATGAGAACAGACGCTACCTGTGGAAGATTTAACACATTTCGTTATATTTGATTTTTAGCTTGCATGTCATTTACGTCTACGACTTCAACTGTCATATTTGACCAACCGTCATCTCGTGAGAGAAGAAAAGAAAATCAACGTTGACTGCACAAGGCTTTTGTTCCTGCACATGCTCATATGCCGTCAGACTGCATTCCTACGTCGTCGATAGCCGCAAAGCCTGTCCCAATACATTCTGAGCTTTTGTAATAGCTTACCTTTTCAAAAGTAACTGTTATATTTGACCGCTGTGATTCTCTATATAGTTCACGATCTCGTAACACAACACAAACACACGGCTGGCTTGTAACACGCTATCACGTCAGTTCTACGTCATATCATTCGGGATACGTAAGTGGAGCTGAATAAATTGGGTGTAATACAAGTGGCAGCGGCCGCCACACCGCACACCAGCTGCTAATGGCTCGGGAACGCGGACTGGAAAGCGCACTCGAACGGCTCGAACGTCGACTCGCGCGTTTGTCACTGCCGAGTAGCTGCGTGTGCGCACGAGCATCCATCTCTTTCGCACTCGTATAAAGTCCAACGTGATAATCTTCCATCCCTCTCATTATAAACCTGAGTAAATGCACAGTAGTCGCTTTCGAGTATCGACGGGGGAACGAGTTCTGTCCATCTCGACTTCATATATTTTCTCCGAGACAGACGCTTCCAAGTTTTGTAGTTTCAACATGAGGCGTTATAAATATGATCACTGATTGGAACGAGCGTGTCTCGTTTCTTTAATTAATACATTGGTCATTCCTATTATTATGACAATTTGATATACTTCTTTTGATATATGTATATATATTTTATAAAACTTTTTGTCTTCTTAAATGTAGCTTTATATTATGAGGTATTGAATTTAACTGTTTCGGTTTAATCATTATATATAATTAATACTATATTATTAATTATATATAATGATTACACCATTAAATGATATATAATTACGGTTGTCATTCAATGAACATAATATATATATTTAGTAAGAAAAGTAAGTGTTAAACCATTAGTTTCAACGAAATATTTTAATGGCATATATTAATGTGAATATTTTACAACAATAACAAGATCAGTATGTATTATACATGAGAAGAGGTTGCATTCCTGAGATAGCTAAGGCAGTCTTATAATAATGTACTGTTTCGTCTGGACCTGAGGTCTGACCCCAGCTTCGTCGTCATTGGACAGGCATCCGAGCGTTCAAACTTTACCTGTTCTTGGGACGTATTTTATTAATGGTCCAAATATTTCAAGGTTCCGCCAACCGATCGTCATGGTAAAAGTGATGCAATTTTTTGTTTAATTGTTATTAGTTTGATATGTGCTATTAATTTAAAGAAAAAGCCTATTTAATTATACTGTTTGCTGTGTTTTTATGGCCTCACTTATATAACAGATCATTTAGTTTGTATATGATAAAACTAGATATTAAAAGATTTTTTCCAACAAATTCTCTGATGATAGTTACATAATGAGAATAGAATATTAATCTTATAATTGCTACCCACTTATAGTATTAATAATTTTTAAATTATTAAATCATACAAAAAGTATAGCTAAATCATCATATTACACATATCCTTTTAAGTTTTTGTTACGATAAATATAAATTAATAGTCATAATGCTGCCGAGTTCAATGTGCCAAAAACTTACCAAACTTGATATACCAGTTTCTCGATTGTCATGCTAGCTATCTAGACATTTGAATGTTTCATCTCAAGTGATGTAAGACAGAGCTTTGCAACTGCTTCAGAGACTTGTATCTAGAGCATAGCCGATTATATAACAAAACTATTTCCTACGATGACTTCAACTAGATATTGATCGTAGTACACTGATACTACGTAAGCAAAGAAAATACCAAGTACTTTGAATTTATTTTTTATCAAATAAATATTATTACGATGAACTTCTCATAAAATAAGAAGTCTCATATTTACATCAAACTTAGCATACAAGAAATTAGTAAACGAAAAAATCAACACGATATTATTTTTAGAGAAACAAAGAAATATTTTGTGTTCTTAAACCCCAGTTTTCTATATCGATAATTCTTTCAAATAAATTGCCAAGCAATAAAAGAATTCATTATTCAATGGCTGTATTAAATATCGTTTCAGAGATCCTTTTGAATGCAATCCTCTGTCTTTGTAATATTCTTTTACATCGCTAAACATGAAGACTTAAATAATAAATTTATGTTCCTTATAAAACTGTCTAGTAATCCGTTCTTTAGTTTTAAATTTAAAATAATACAAGAATCCTAAGTATAAGAACAGTTCTAAGTATTTTTTAATTAGTGCTAATAGTAATAGACGCGTTCAGTTTAGTTTAGTCAGTGGTGGCCTAGTGGTTAAAAAGCCCGCCTCTCATGCATGGAGGCGCGGGTTCGATCCTGGCAAGTACTAATGTGATTTATCCGAGTCATATGTACTTTCTAATTGTTTAGATAACAGTTAATAATGCATTCCCAAAGAGGGTTGATGTCAGGCAGGCGGCCGGTCGTAAAAACAAAAAGCCAAAACTATTCACAACATGTAAGGCAGACCCTGGCTAAAGCTGGGAAATTGCCAGGTAGAAGAAGAAGAGTAATAGACGCGTTAAGTTTTTATGTTGAGTGCGTCACTACACATCGTTATTTACTCATCATGAATGGAGTAATTAGTAAACTGTTATTAACCGAATCCATACAAACAAAATATATTTTATAATACCGTTATTTCAAACTTTTCTATTTCTTAAACACGTGGTAGTTGACTTAAAAGATAATGTTGCCATTATTTACAACAAATTAATTAAAACATTCCAACGGGTCATTTCAAACAAGTTCCATAATAAATGACTTTAATGCAACATGAGAGATCTTTCTGGAATAATTAATGATAATTTGATTACATCCTAAACCAATATAATGTGATGCCGTATCTTGACTTGGAGATTTAAGGTATCTAGCGATAGACTGTGAGTTTCTTTGGATTTACCAAACTGGTTTGGCGACCTTTTGACTGCATTGAACGAAATTATAAATAAATAACTTAGTCATTATTTTTATTATTATGAAAATAATTACATGACTTTGTCATGATTTTGGCGATGCTTCATCGCATCATACGAAGAGTTTAAACTCAATCCTTTAACAAATACGACTACCAATAGAACATTATGCACATAATTTTTCTATGAAACGTGAGGTTTCATAACAATTTTTTAAACCAAACTTAAACTGCAAAGAAACGCTCAGATACGTTAACGATCTACAGCATCATATATACAGGTTATATTTATTCAGATAATACGATGAATAAAACGTTCGTTATGAATTATTCTATGACATGACATTTTCAACGATCGTGTCATTGGTATAAAGGTGACATTTCTTTGTATAGTTTTTTTATTTGAATCGTTCGTCGGATCGCATGTTGCTACGTGAGGTGATTGAATGCTTTTTCTAAAACGCCGTCTACGTGATCGATTATTATCCTATCATCTAATTTGGCGTTAAACCTAACTTTGTTAATAATAATGATTATAGTAATGTTATATTATAGAGGGTGTTCTAAATTGAACTGTTTTTGGATAAGAATTTTGTTTTTAATTAGTTGTTTTAAATTTATAATAGTCGTTAGTCGTATTAAAATTGGTTTTTTTCCTTATCGTTGCTGAAATAGTTATTAGTGTAATATTATTATTGTTTTTCTTCTTAATAATCTCTGTTGTTAAATACTAAAGTTTAATTTACATTGTTCTGGCTGTATGTATTTTTTGGTTAATTGCCTCATGACTTACGTAACAACAAATAGTTATAAGGAAAAAAATATTTTGATTGTCAACCTGACTTGCAAATTTATTCCGAATTCTGTGGCTTTTCGATGAATCTTAACGGGGAAAAACATTCACTCCGTTGGTTTTCTGAATGATGAAAGAAAGAGAAAGATATATAACTAATTTTAGTTAGTTTTTAAATTATCATATTCTTTACGTCCACTTGAAACTTAGTCAATTGTGCCATTGAGACCGCGATAAGTTGATTGTGGCTAATAGATATTAGATTACTAAATATTTATTATCTCTTGCAGGAAGCTAGGTCTGGAGCTGGTTCCAAGACGCGGTGCGGAAGCCGTTGACCCAGAAGACACCAGCCTCGTTGAATTGTATAGAGTTCATGCTGACAGCGCTGAGCGGGCGGCAGCTGTAAGAACATTTCTTATGATATGATGACAAACGATCATCGCCTATCCTTCAATAATGTGTGACTACCCTCGATAATGAACACGTGTTTAGCTAGCGATACCCTTAAGTTATAGGGACTAAGACGAAATTATATAATAGGAATAGAAAAGGGTCACTGCATTTTAGTTTTATTCATAAATTTAATGATTTACAAAAATTATACTAAAATTAAGCAATATCTTAAATGACTAACTCGATACTAATAGAATATTGATCGTATTAATTCTTATTACTCAAATTTTTAATCAAATAAGAGTTGGATTTAGACAAACTACTCATATATTTTAAAGAAAATAGTTTAAAACATGTATTTTATATACATGTTCAAAGAATAGGTTCAATTCAACATTCTCGTGTACTCGTATTAAGCCAATAGGTATAATATATTCAATTGCTTTACTATTAAATTCTTTATTATTTTTTGTACAATTTGAATGCGACTTGGAATTATTTCTTGCATTCCTTATTTTAACTCAAAAAAATATATTATCTTAATTATTTGGATATTAGTATATTTTTCTAACTCGTACAACATTTTCATACTCATACAATAGTTAAAAACAAATTTCGTTTAAATAATTTCACCCCCACAAGCAATATGATATCTTAAACAGATGTTTAATGTAAGGAGTGAAAACAATTGGGTACCTCATTAAAGCATAATAGGAGCTTGTATTGGTTGAGTTTTTAATATTTCCATGACTAAAAATTCATAAAATAAAATAAAAGTCTAATTAATCAATTTTATGCCAAAGAAACCTAAAAAAAATGTCATGTGGATAGTCAGATTTTCAGGAATTTAAGAATATCATATTAAAATATTAGTTTTAATTGAATATTCGATTTATTTTTAAACGTGATACACAGTCCATAAATGTATTTGATTGGTCGTAAGTGGTAACTTCAGTCGGACATCGCTTTATGTATCTTTTGTATCGAGTGTGATGAGATCGTCTTTCTTAATACGCTGATGTCCCATTGTTATGCACTCATTGCATGTTACAATTGGATAACATTGTTTTATTAAATATGTTTTTATATAATTAAAGAGTAAAATATATGTATTTATATATAGATTTAATTTTAGGAGATTATATACAAGTTTGGAAGTCTACAAAATTGATATTAGTTTTCGAACTCTCCTTAATATTGGCATCATACACATTACATCTTGTCTTTTACCTTCAACTACTTATCTGAAACTATATTAATATGTGATCTTATACTTACTTCAGTTCTGTTATATTGAAAAACTTATCAAATTATCTATAATATTAGTAACAAAATAGTAATATGTACGTATGTATTACTTATTTTCATTCCGTAAAAACTTATTATGAAATTGGTTCATTATAGTTTCTTAGTGACATTTATTTAATGTTATTTCATTTTAACCTACTTATGTTAATTAATACCAGATAAAAATGTACGAAAATCATCATTTAAGTTGTAATTCAGTATTGAAGAATTATTTCATTTTTAAGTTTCGTTTTTCGACATAGTATCTTATGATTTTTACGTTTAATCAACTATTTCTAGTCTCATTCCTATAAAAATGATCAGATGATACTAGATTTTACTAGATAGTAAAAGTATTAATTAAAATTCTGTTAATAATTTTCCAGTTTCGCGGTACACTACGCAGAGCTGGTGGCTCAGGTAGTAGCTTCAATTCCGGTACACTAACGAACAATTCAAACATAACACCGGTCAGCCAATCGTACTACCTCATGTGTAGTATGAGAGACTTCGGTCACACGGCTGGTGGTGATGAAGCGGAACTACTACTTTGGCTCCACGACGCTAGACGAGCTCAGCCACTCTCAGAAAGATTCAGAGTTAGAATAGCAAGGGATGGATTCTCCAATTACGTGGATAGACTACACGCTAATAGCACCCTTTTCTCCGTAAGTATTTCCAATATATGAAATAGCTGTTAATATTCTTTATAAAGAATTTAATAGACGATGTATGGATTTTTTTAAAACTTCGTCTTCATATATCAGAGCCCACTGCTGACTAAAGGCCTCTTCTCACATAGAGAAGGTTTTAAACTTACACATGGAAAACTGGAAAACAAAAAAAAAAAAAAAAAAATAGACTTAATTCAACCTATAGTCTCGATAAACGGACGAAGCGAGATTACAGGAAGTAGCTAATGTACTATAAATTACTTTCCATATTCGAGTAATTGATCGCAACAGGCCATATACATAAGTATATTAATATTAAAGATGACTATATTGTTAAAACTCACACTAACTTACCAAACAAATCGCTCATCTATTATTCTTATTACTATATCTCAAAATACACTGAACTAAAAATAAACAATGACATATTATACCCTTTTTATGTTTAACTCTATTCAATAGAAAAAACAATACGCACCAATTTTAAGAAATGTAGCAGGCTTTGTGGTCATAAAATACCTGTCCGTGATTTTCTCACGATGAAGGATCATTGATAAGAAATAAATATTTTTAATCTTTATTACAGGCAACCTCCTAATATATTATAATAAACATCCGTAACGTGTTTTTTATTTTCAGTTTTTTTTAACTGTAGTGTGTTTATGACCGTCATTACTAAAATTTTAATAGAAATTTGATGCTAAATAAACTTAGCTATTAATACAATTTTTACCACGATTCTTTGCAAAGACCCTAAACTTCGACCAAAAAAATGTATAACATAGATATTCAATATCATTATTGTATTCCAGGATTTATCAAGTACGGATCTTTCTCGGGAGCTGTGGTTGGTGGCGTGGGTTGTTCGTGTAGGTAGATGGTCGGGGGCTGGTGGAACGGGAGAGAGACGAGGACCTGTGGCTAGAAGACCATTAGGTGCAGGGGTCCTCAACCTTTCTGAGTTCCTCAAACAGACAGAACAACATACTATTGAAAAGGAGTACACTTTTAAGGTAGACAAATGCTGTCAAATATATTAGCCTTAAATTTCAATAATATGTCAGCTTTGATATAGTTTTTGCCTTCGAATATATTGGCGATCAATAATAGTTAAATCTTTCTTGGACTGAAAAAAAAAATAATAATACCTAGTATGGTCTTGAACCAATACTGGCGATAATTTCAGTGTTACAAGTTTTGTTATGTAAACAACATGCATGGATACAAAAACTTGGTAGAAACGTAATTCATACGAATTTTACCATAAAAAAAGTGTATTCGATAATGGGTCTTTTAAATAATGTTAAAAAGAATTGTTGGAATACCTTATCAGTAAAAGTCTAAATCAATTGTGTAGTCTTCTTTGTATGGTTCCAAGCCATGTTGCTTATTCAGTATAATATTGTTATTATCATTTAAATGTTATCATGGATTAATTTTTATTGACTTTGTTAATAGTAGACAAAATTGTTAGTGACATGTACTTGACATATTCTACCAGGCTACTTTCCTTGTATATATATTCCTACTTGGCCTAACTATATCTACTAGTAGAATAAAAGAGTATTCAACAGTATTTTGCTAGCGTTAATGAAATCTTGGTAACAGATAAAATTTCCCCTATGTTAAATTAAAATCTATAGCTCCCAGTTAATCTACATCTGAAGCTTTATTACTGTTAAGGAATTTACAACCAGTAGATGTAAAGCGCATAGAGAAATTTGGTTAATTCTTGGAACAGACTGTTTTGAGACTGATTTGAATTTATTTATAATACGCAATCATTACAAGTGTCATAATAGACTACGAATAAATTTTTGCAATTATTAAAATGTTTCACATTTTCCTTCTCAAGTTTTTCCATTTAGAATTTGTAAAAATTATGAAGTACATCTCAAGCAATATCTCATTAGTTTTTTTTTGTTTTTACGATCAATATGTAACATGAGTACTAGCTTAAGTAATTTTATAATTGTATTATTTGTATTTTTTATCCTTTCTTCGAATAATTTATGGTCGTACCTACATGTTCCATTATTGATCCAGTTATTTTGGTTACGTATACTGTTAGGTATTATTTTTATTTCACATACATTCATTCATAAAATTTTGTCAAGTTTGTTAAACTAATTGTTAGTCTGTATTATCAGTTACTCAGTCTATTAGTTTAAAGCAATGTAGGTATTTTATTTAACCAGTTTGTTTATCTTAAATAGATGATTTAATATAAGTTGATCACATTCCAGGTTTACCAAAGCGAAGAAAAAGATTTCCATCAGCTACATGAGATGTTGATAAGGAAACAGACAAATAAGTGCAATATTTTGCCTGGACAACCAAATTACGGTGAGCTATAATAAATAAAAGGTAGGGAGAGGAGCTTGGACGTTGGAGGTAAGCGTTTAACGCGCGTTAGATAGGGACCCCATAAACCTACACCTGGGTCGCAAGTCCCAGCCACTGTTGAAGCTCCTCTCCCTGCAACGATGGACCCGGCACCCGCACGATGAATCCGTGGAATGCTGAGAAGTTTCGTCTCCTATCTCATAATTCAAGTAATAAACTTGATTTCCAGATATTTTGGAATCCATATTTATTTATTGGTTTCATTTTTCTCTTTAAGTTTGTAATTGAATTAGTTTTTGTTGGATTTTTTTTTACTTTGGATAACAAATGCAAAAAACAATCTATATAAAAATTAGGTTATTGATCATATACATATATTATCTGTACTACATTTAAAATAAATCCATAATAATACTTCAAAAACATTAAGAATCTAATTTTGCTGGCGGGTTATAGTTCAAGAATACTATATTTATTAATAAATTAACAATTGTCCTTTTGTTATCATATTTCCTTGTTGTAAAGTATTATAAATGGGACATCCAAACATTCATCATGTTAAAAAACTAAGCTATAGTTAAAAGATAAATCTAAAATTTCAGGCATCGTAGTAGCGCTGCGTCTCTTAACAAATACCGGCAGTATATCCGAAGCTGTGGCCTCCGGGGCGACTGTGACAGCTAAGCGGGGATTCCCCGACGTCATAATGCCGGGGGATGTCCGGAACGACCTCTATCTGACCTTGGAGAGGGCTGAATTTGAGAGAGGGGGTAAAAGTACGGCGAAGAACGTCCTCGCTACAGTTAGTGTGTACGATAGTTCCGGACAAGTGATCAACGTGAGTTTGATATTGTATTAATAATTATAAATGATAATTAACTTCAGAAGAATTAGAGATATATTGTCAGTTGTATGAGGTTCTATGTCAAATAAAATAACATCAAAATTCATTATTAACCTATTAATTTAACTAACCATCACATTTATATGACTTTTCTCATGTATGTATGCCTATTATTTATTCGTTCGATTGATATATACATATGTATATGTCAATCGAACTATTTAATTAAATAAGCTTCTAAGATATCACTCTATATAAATATTGAACATATATATGTCAAGTTTTAATTCATATGTCGTCAGGATTGTGTGTGGGGTGCAAGTGGTACAGGCAGTACGTGGTACGAATCACTAGTGTTGTACCACAACAATAGTCCAGCGTGGGGCGAACAGTTGCGACTCACTGTACCTTTGGATACATTCACACACGCGCACGTCAGGATCGAGTTTAGACACTGTTCAAGTGAGTTACTGATGCTTACTACATGTATACTAGCACTTACTACAAGTATACTGATACTTATCTTTACTAAAACTTATATCAGATATACAGATATTAAAAATACATATGTATATATAAATATACATATATAAAACTTTTTGAGTTGTACATTTAAGGCTTTGGATTTAAAACAATTATAATTGGATCTACAAGGAAAGGTCCAGCTAAAACGATAATTTCGTGAGAAATAACTACAGTTTTCTACTATTGTAATATTTAATATAAATATGTATTGCATACAAAGAGCTTAAAAAGAGCATATAATCAACTAAGAAATACATATTATTCTGTATAGAAAAGATACTTTTCCTACACAATAAGTTTTTTTTCAAAAAAGTCCAAAGTATTTTGATACAATATATCGATACCTCCCACGTAAGTTGTTGTATGCCACATAAACGCTATTTTGCTTTTTTTTTCTAAAAAATATCGTATTATGGATCATTACATCCATTGAAATGAAAAAAACAACAAAAACACTATTTTTAAAGGATTTGTCAGACGCATAATGTTGTAATTTTCAAACGCGAACGGATTAAACTGATGTATATGCCTATGCAATTGTATACGCGGGGCGCGAGGTGGGTAAATCATGCGCCCGCGCCGCGTATGAGTTACATACAACAGAGTAAGACTTATGTTTTTCAACGTATACAGTTGTAACTATCATATACCACAAGTGACGCTACCTGGGCGCCGCGGTATAATGTTGCAAGTATCAGATACAACGCCTTTTTTAGCTTCTACTCCGGAGTAAAATGTCGTATGAACAATGTAAGAAAAATAGGCATATTAATTAAAATATCTTTTAACGTAGTTAAGAAGACTATTATGTTAAATTTAAATACGAAATTTTAAAAAGATGCATCAATAAATGAAGATTTTGGTTTAATTTGAATCTTTGAAACGCTCTACTGTAAAATTACACTTTTGCAGATACAACTTACGTGGGAGGTATATATACATATATATATATATATATATATATATATATATATATATATATTCGTATCGTCCTATAATCAAGAAATATCTGTTACGTTTTTTTATTTATATTTTTGGAGTTTACCTATTAAAGCCATAAATCTCCGTGTTTTGAAGTGCGACAGAATGATTGACATATTAGTTAGTTGTCAAATCTAATGTAAAAAAAAACGTTTGTATCAACAACTACTAATAAATTTAAAATTTATTAAAAAAACGTTGTCCAGCGAACAAAATTGTGAATCTAAACAATTCCCAGATCCCCTTGAACACACACAAAAAATTTCATCAAAATCGGTCCATTCGTTTGAGAGAAGTTCAGTGACATACACACTCACAGAAGAATTATATATATAAAAGAAATCTCTCTTCTTTATTTCTTTTGAAACTCAGAACTAGTTTGACTCAATTAAATGGACATGTATATTGATCTTATTGCAATAATTATAGGATAAATAAAAGAGGTAGAGTAATTATGAATGAACAAGTTGTAAGCAACAATGTATCATACTAGTAAGTACATATATACATACATATATTAACACTTACCTCTCATTTCCAGCACGTGATAAAAGCGAACGTAAGCTGTTTGGTTTCTCGTTCGCCCGTCTGATGGAGCCGAGCGGCGCCACGCTCAGAGACGCCGCCCACGACCTCTATGTGTACAAGTGTGATGACGCTAACAAGTCAGTATACTTAATATAAGTATGACGTCATCATTTGCACGCAACTCTTGTGACGTCATCTGACGATTTGTTTTGATAACATTAACTAGAGTGCAAATGCATTATTTGTCTAGTTATTTATCTTATTAATTATTAACGATTATTAGGTTTGTGTAAATATTACATATTTGTATAGGGATTGTATTAAAATATATTTAGCATATATAGAGCATCTACTTTATATACCATTTGCTAAAACAGAATGGAACAAATATTGTTATTTGTATGGATGGTTTGATGGTAGGGTTACGTTAAGTTTCAATAATTTCTGGATGGATTTCAATAAAAATTTAAATATTATAGCAATTGCATAACAATGATGGTTGAGGTGTAATTTATTTCTATATAACATGTAGTAATCAAAGACGTCGTTACAGTTATATAATGAACGGTTTCCGTATATTTTGTAAATCACAATAATCTTTGTCGTCGTCAAAAATTAGTCTATAATGATATGTAATAATATCAATGATATTTTAGACTCGCGACAGCAAGTTACCTCTCCCTACCGTCGTGCGCGAGCGACGCGACTCGATCAAACACAAACGGTGTACTGGCTACATTCCAACGAAGTACGAAGGAGAATTGTATAATAAGTACAGTACTTTGCTCCACGAAGCTAACACAAAATGGTATGTATGAGAAGTACGTGTAAGACTTTTACTCATATTCATTTTAATTAAATTAATATTTTTGAGATTTAATATGCGTTTATAACTATTTTTAAAAACATACTCCCGATATTGCGGTTATCTTGTAGCAAAATGAAACTGTTATTTTTATTTTAATTACTTTTAATATTTATATTGTAGTGTTTTCACATATTCATGTCATTCCTCGTGGTTAAACAATAATAGTTAAATATTAAAAGAAAACTAATGTTATTTTATTTTGTAAAAAGATTTAAATGACTCTAAAATTAAAGGGAAAGAAATTGTAAAGCGAAAAATCAATATTATCGTTGTGATAAAAAATGCTGAGAATTTACGATTGTATTTATATACATATCATACATATAAACTAGATACAGCCTAAAATAACGTGTTTGTTTTATTTGTTATTTTATTTTATACAGTTCTATACGGACAGTGAAATATATTTAATATCTTATAATTTCAGAGGATCTTCTAGCTTTATTACAATGGCGTGCTCGGCCGGAGAAGGTCCAGGAGACCTTACTGCGTGTGTTGCGTCTCGGCGACGGACTCAGCTGTGAAGAACTCATCAAGTTCCTTAGAGATGTATTAGACGCGCTTTTCGCTCTGTTCTCTACTGAGGATGGCAATAGGTTCGTTATATTATAGTACATATATTATAAACGCTAATCCTTGTACGTGTGAAAGTTAGTTTCTTCCAATATAGCTCATATGTGTAGACGCATAGAGTATAAATTAAAATTCCATGCAATTATATTTTGTGCAGTCTCCTCACACAGACGATAGATGGCACTATCGATATGAATTCTAAGTCCTCATTTATTTTCTTTTTGAACTAATTACAGAAGTCCATATGGACGAAATCGTTATGAAATATAGATTTACATAAATTTCTAACATCTGAATAAAGAGTTTTGTATATTTTTTTAATAAAACCAGTAATAATACGTTGTTATATGTATATTCGAGTAAAAGGTAATTAATTATTCAATATATTCATATTTTATTGTACATATATATATAATTTATTTTAATTTAAGTAAATATTTTCAGCACACCTCACTCAGGAACTGTGTTCCTAGTACTGGTTTCTATCTGCAGTCTGCTTGATGAAAGTCGCTTCCAACACTTTAGACCGGTCCTGGATGTGTATATAGAAGAACACTTCTCCGCTGCCTTGGTCTATAAGTATGATATACACATAAATATTTTATTATTTGGTGAACAATATTATATAAAAGCATCTAAAATAAAAATAATTTAATATTCATCATCGAGATCTGTGTCGGTTAGTTTCCTATTATGGTAGCTCTAATAATTATAAGTAGAAATACATAACATACAAGATAACCTGACCTTTAATAGTGGAGCCTGGATTTTACCCGTTTATGCTGGTTTCACACTATAAGGCCACGGTTTGGTAAATATTATTAAATGAAAGAGAAGTGACATACATACTATCCGTCATAGTTATCTTCAGGTGGAAAGTAATTAGAATCGTGACTAGTCATTTGTAACGACATGAAGCGGTAGAAAGTGTGTTTTAATATTGTTAGTACAGTCTACTATTTCTAATAAAATTGAAAAAAAAAACATCCAATTTAATTCTAACTACTAATGTCCAAAGGAGCTTGGATTATTGTAAGCCGTAATTTCCTATGACATTATATGTTTCATAATGACAAGCAATAACTGTTATCTTTATAAGAGTTCCATAAAATGTTTCAACCGCGGATAATAAATTCTCGTCAATTTCTGTATGTTCCAGACGAAAATGTGAATTGCTTCAGTTTGTCTATGTACCGAGATACGCCTTAACATGTGTTTTTTTTATGAAACAGATGTATTATATATAATTTAAATTTTAAATGAAGATATACTTCTATGAAATACTTATCGTCAAATTCCAGGGGTCTACTATCATCGGTTCAACATTGTGCTGAATGGGCGGCTGGTGCGGAAGGTCAAGAGCCAATACGCAAGTGTCTTCGTTCACTGGGCGCCGTGTTCCGTCTAGCGGTCAGATCCCGCTGTCTGTTCGCTCGAGCCACCGGTGGACAATATGAAGATAGCTTTAGACGGGATGTTCGTGCAGCGCTGCATGCGCTTAAAGCATTAGCTCAGCATCCGCATAGAGAACATCTAGCGCCCGCACAGGTATTGTATTGTATTTTCATATAAAATTTGATATCTCAATAACATAATCTGCCAGAAATGAAATTATAAGCAAGTATATATTATGAGAGAGATAATAACATTAAAATACCTATCTCGAAACATTAATAATGATATGATAATAATAATAATGCATTTATCTGGGTACTTAAATTTAAAAATAAACAAAGTAAAACTCACAATTTCAAAATGTAATTGTAAATAGTAAAGAATTATGTTTAAATAAATATAATACGAGTTAAACGAAAGAAGTCACAGCTGTGATAAAATTATAATTTATTTCGTCCGTAATTTTCAAATAATAACGGTATAAACAAAGTATTCATTTGTATTATAACTCATACACATTGGTTAATATTCAGATCGCACTGATGACGTCATGGGCTAGCGTGGCAAAGGAAGTGGCGTCGGCTTTGGGTCCTGTGGAGGCCGGGCGTATAACCGCAGCGATGTTGGATGCGCCTGCAGCGAATGCTCCACCAGCGTTGGCTAAGGCTCGACTTGCAGCAGCTCAGGAGATATTGAGAGGACCTCTGGGACAGGATCCTGGTTAGTGATAATTAGTTATGATCGTCATCATTATTATCAGCTTATCAGAGACCATTATTGAGCAAAGGCCTCTTCTCACATGGAGAAGATTTGAGCATTAATCACCACGCTTGCTCATGACGGGTTGGCAATTTCAAACTTATATTTGGAAATTATAAGTCCAGATTTCCTCACGGTGTTTTCCTTCACCGTCTTTCATTGGCTAGTCGTGGTGGTCTGTTTATCATACTATGTAAGTCTTTCAGTGTTATGTATTGTTTTTTTTTGTTTTCAGAGGCTCGAAACATTGTTTTGACAACGGCGTGTCATCATCTCCGAGTGCATCTAGCTCGTAGGGATGAATTGACTCAGTGCGCGGATATGTTAGGAGAGTTAGTTACGTTGTTGTGGAAGAAGGAAGATCCGGACGCGCCCGTGGATGAGGACGAACTGGACCCCGACGTTGACGTGCTCTGCTTAAATACCCTGGACGTACTGGTCGAAACGGTGTTGCATCTGATTGGTGGAAATTCGCCTGTGCTGGTGAGATATATACATTAATATACCTATAGACACACAACTAAAAGCTAATTTTTTATATTTACTAGGATTGGGACCTGCCGTTGCTCAAAGATTGAGTCCCTTCAAAGAGAATCAATCTTTGGAGATTGGACAATGGCAGGTTCGAATTCTGCTCGAATATAATATAACAGCTAAAGATATCAGCTAAAATTACTTTATTTATAAAACATACCAATCATGTGTAGTAATAATTTTACTTGGATAAATTTATGCAATTTAAATTCTTAAGTATAATACATAGTACAATTCAATGATAATTCCAGGGTTCAATGGTAGCTGGTCTTCTAGGAGTAATGGAACTTCTAAAACCAGCTCACTATCAGCGTCTATGGAGTCACTTGGCCCCACACCCTCACGACAGAAAGCCTTTAAAAGATTTTCTTATGAGAGCCTTCCTTGTATTTAGACATTTAATAGAACAAGAGGTAAGTTGTATTAATATTTGAAATTGTGTGGATGTGTGCAGAATTTTGTATTAAATATAAGGGTTGGACTGTTATATACTGCACTTCAAATCTTCAAAGTAGGCGGAGTTGATAGTACATTTAAAAACCTTGTGAATCATACATAAGTTAATTCTACTTTTGTTCCACTCATGTTTATATTATAATATGTATCTGTCATACAAATTTTCTTTATTGTTCTATGCCTATATAAATATTTCCTCGAATATGATTTCACAATAAAACTCACAGAAAATTATTTAATTAAAAAGATTATATTCTGGTATTTCATATTTTTAAACAAATTATTGTAATAATTTTATGTCATTAATAGGTGTTTCCATCTGACTGGATGGTATTGAGAGTTCAGAGCTGCAAGGTGCTATTGTCTGCATTACAAGATTTGGCAAAACCGTTGTTAGAAAGATTCTTGGGCGATGAACCTCCACAATTTGACTCTCAAGTAAGTAACAACTTAAAATTACATTAAATTGAGATGTTGACTTTATTCATTTTTTAAAATTTCCAGTAACTATTTAACGAACATATACCAAACATATAATGATAAAAAATTAAAATATTCATAGTCATAGTGAACATCCTCTTTGTGTTATTTACATTGATATATTGTTATGACATTTTAGGATTGACTTTGATTTAAACATTAAGTTAAAATTTTTAGGTAATAAAATTATAGTTATTTATATCAATAATTCTTTGTGTATATTTCTGTATAAGATTTTATAGTGAAACTAATAAATAATTACTATGCTTTAGCTATGGGCGGGTTACTTGGAGCTGGGTGTGTCGCTAGTGACAGCGAGTGCGCTTCAGGCGGAGCGTTGGGCTCGAGGACCGCAACGAGCGGCTATGAGGGCCGCCGCCGCCTTACACCTACTCGCCGTCTGGACCAGACTCGGTATGGGAACATACAGACAGACACACACACACACATGCTTAAAACCACAACATTGTATTTTGCCTAATAGGTACATGTAACATTTGTTTGAAGATACTTTTCTATAGGACAGTATATTAATATCCAGTGAGATTTCTAAGTATCTGTATATATAAAAATGAATTGCTGTTCGTTAGTCTCACTAAAACTCGAGAATGGCTAAACGGATTTATCTTATCTTAATCTTGAAATGTTCGGGGTGGTTCAGGGAAGGTTTAAAAGCTGAAAAAAAATGATTCATTTCCGGGAAAACCATAAAAACAGCCCTTTCCTATTTCCCATACAAACGTATTCTTTGAGATTAGATTTGACAACTAACTAGTATGTCAATCATTCTGTCGCACTTCAGAACACGGAGATTTATGGCTTAAAGGTAAACTCCAAAAAAATAAGTAAGAAATTATTTAATTCTCGATTGAGGCAGTACGAAGTCTGCCGGGTCAGCTAGTATAAATTATTTTTTATTCTTTCCAATGAGTGTCACAGATGTTATCCACACTAGAAATTACGACTCAATAAATAACTAACACTGAGATGATTATCATACAAATCTCTATACTAATTACATAGATTTCCATCACTAAGGTATTGCTATTATCTTCCAGGTGCTGCCCAGCTACAGCTGATCGGTCCAGCGGTAGGCGCGTTATTAGAGGTGACATTAGTTCCAGAGCTACGTAGGGCTGCCCTCGGCGCTTTAGTGAGTCTCATGGCCGCTGAGCGAGCAGCTACAGGCTCAGCTAGAAAGACAGAAGCAGCCCTAGTTGATAAACTAGACTCACTAGTAGCTGACAACAAAGCTGATGATCATTATCGACGACTGTTTGACACTGTGTACGTATATATACAAGTTAATACTATAAATACTTGTATCTTTTTCTTTTACCTGGCAATTTCCCAGTTATAGCCAGGGTCTGCCTTACATGTTGTGAAAAGTTTTTGGCTATTTATTTTTACTACCGGCCGCCTGCCTGACATCAACCCTCTTTTGGGAATAATATATACTTGTATGTCCATATAAAATATCTCTTATTATATAACGTACTATTATATATTTATTATTATGTTAATGCACACACCAGGGAGCATTTGAGTTCTGTGTAAGTATATATATGTTATTATCACTTTATTTGACTTTGATTTTATATTACTTTACTGCTGGAAGATATATAAGGAGAACCAAATACTAAAATGTCTTTAATCTTAACTAATTTTATTTTTTGCAGTAGTAATACTATTTATGGTCCTTTTTTGCAGTAAATTGATTCATTTTCTTTGTATAGATGATATATATATAACTTCAGGTTAATGGAGCGTGTATCGACTGAGGGTTGGCGCGAGGCGGGCGCTGCTTTCGTGGGTTGCGTAACCAGATTATTGGAGAGACTCTTGGACTACCGCGCGGTCATGCAAGGAGCGGAACATAGAGATAAGAGGATGGCTGCCACTGTTAACTTGCTTGTAATATATAGTCAGATACATAATATATGCGTGACCATTTGAATTTAATTAAGCACAATAATTATAGTTTTTGTATCATTTGATTCACATTAATAAATTAAACTCTCAACTTCAAAAACTTTCGAGATATTGAAGTATACTTCATGTTTTAAAACATAATTTTATAATATCTCTTATTTTATTAAGTTATGTATTTATATTTAAACGTAAAATAACACAGCAAAAAGTACTCTTAAGTCCTCAGTGAAATTTCAACCAAATATTATATATTCATGCACCTTTAATTACATTTTGTATATTATTTACAGAATTTCTACAAAAACGAGATCGATCGTAAGGAGATGTATCTACGTTACGTGTACAAGTTACACGACTTACACATCGCCTCTGACAACTGGGTGGAGGCGGGGTGTACACTATTGGTAAGATACTTTAATATCTTCTTAATTTAAGCTGTGGATTCACTCACACTGAATTTACAGTACTTTGAATACTTAATATAATAATTGAAGTCGTTACTGTAATGTTTTATAGAATTTAATATCAGTGTTAGTAATTATTTAATATATAAAAAAGCAAAATTTTTAAGCGCTATACACTTCTATGATTGGTAAATATACACATTTTATCATATAAATTATGGGTCATCTTAATAATTAATATTATTTAAACTATCAACAGTTGTACGCAGAAACATTAAGTTGGGAGAGCGATCAAATGGGCGTTGACCCCGAACATCCAGATACAGTGGAGTGGAAACGGAAAGAGGCGCTCTACAACCAGGTGTTACAGTACTTTGATAGAGGGAAGGTATGTCGCCTTTATAATAATATATTGGCAATAAGCCAATACAGTAATACCCCGCTTTACGCGAGGGATACGTTCCGAAGAAAATCGCGTTAACTGAAATTCGCGTATATCGTGGTTTATGATTAAACACAGTCAAAATTTAATACACAATTATAAAAATCAATTTAATCAATCACTTTAATTCTAAAAACACTATACAATACATAGGTACTCCTATTTTTACGAAAAAATACATGTATTGTCTTTTGGGTAGCGTTTTGTTTACGTTCTTGTAAAATACGTTCATAACACCAAACACTGTTTTTAATCGTTTGACACACGTTCAAGACACGGTCATCATTATTATCTATACTCTACAATGTCCCAACCTGAATAAATTTTTGAACATCGCCGTATAGTGAAACTGCGCACAACGGGGTCGCGTTAAGTGGGGTATTACTGTGCATATATTGTGATGAGATATTGTGTCAAATAAACATGTAATATAAGGGGGTACACTTATCGAAACACAGAAATAATCTTTGGTCACCGTGAAATATTATGAGGAACCAGAAATATAGAAAAGCTTGTAAAAAAATTGTCTATCCAAATTAGTAAGCTTAGAATTTTTTTTATTAGTTCAGTTACAATTTCGTCACGTTTTTGTGCATTGTTTATGTACATGTACATTTAAATATTATATAATATATGTTGCACTGTGACTGAACCCTACTTTATATGTATGTTCCTATAAAGTATAAACACATAAAAAATCATTTTTTAAATTAATAAATGCTCTGTTCATATATTCACATTATTTATATGTCATTTCAGTGCTGGGAGAAAGGCTTGCCTCTACTACGTGAACTTAGCACGCTATACGAAGTGAGATGCGACTACGCGCGTCTGTCTCACGTGCTTCGAACTCACGCTAACTTTCTAGACGCCGTGCTCGAACAACTGAGACCCGAGCCGGAGTACTTCAGAGTTGGGTTCTACGGGAAGGGATGTCCGCTGTTTGTTAGGGTTGGTTCACTATATATCTTTATATATATATATATATATATATATATATATATATATATATATATATATATATATATATATATATAATTCTTCTGTGAGTGTGTATGTCACTGAACTTCTCTCAAACGACTGGACCGATTTTAATGAATTTTTTTGTGTGTTTTCAAGGGGATCTGGGAATGGATTACATTCACAATTTTGTCCGCTGGACTATGTTTTTTTAATTAATTTTTAATTAATTAGATTTGACAACTTACTAATATGTCAATCATTCTGTCGCACTTCAAAACACGGAGATTTATGGCTTTAATAGGTAAACTCCAAAAATATAAATAAAAAAAGGTAACAGATATTTCTTGATTATAGTGCGATACGAAGTTCGCGGGGTCTTCTAGTATAGATATATATTGAAGTTGTAAACAAGCTTTGTGATCTATTTAATATGAAAAAATATTATAAATTTGATTTTTGACTCAAATTAAAATGAAAATAAATTAACAATGAGTTAAATAATATCATTTGAATTCTGTTGTTTAGTATATAACTAACATTGAAAAAATATAAGATTAGGTATGTTTAGTTAATAAATAGATATAAAAAAAATACTTATATCTCCTTATCAATAAGTGCATTGCATTTTATATCATATGTCACAAACATTACGACCTATTTCAGAATAAGCAGTTCGTGTATCGCGGCCAGGACTATGAACGTATCGGTGCGTTCACACAACGTTTGCAAGCGGAGTACGTGGCGGCTCACATCCTCATGAGGAACACACCGCCAGATGACTCTGTCATCGCTGCTGACGGACAGTGTGAGTGGGGCCTTATCTGTACTATTATAATATATGAAACTTATAAAGGAGACATAATTATATTATATACTGGGTTTACTTAGAAAAAGATCAGGGTTATTAGAATATGTTTTATTAAGGCCATTATTTTCGCTTGCATTTATATACAAGCCTAATACGATAGTATTTTGGCTTTTAGTACATCTATATAAATACGCTTATATAAATATGGTTATATAAATACGGTAACAAATGTTTAATTTGCTATTTTAGAGGTAGTAGAGCCTAGCGGTGGTCAGTTACTACAGCTCGAACATGGGCTGGCTTGACCGGGGAAGTACCACCCTCTCATAGAAGATCGGAATGAAGTAGCCTTTAATGGTTGCGTTTCGACCGATGAGTGAGAGAGCTGGTTGCCCTTTGCCTGTTTCCAACCTTTCCTTGTATTTCCTCATTCCCACCCCTCCCTTTTCCTCCATAGCTAAGGTTGGCAACACATCTGCAACATCTATGTTGCGGATGTCCATGGGCGACGGTCACTACTGACCATCAAGTCGGCCGTCTGTTCGTTTGTCACCTTTTACATATAAAAAAAAACACCGCCGTGTCTGTCTGTCTGTTCGCGGTAATCTCACAAACTGCTGCATCGATTTTCAAACATTATTTACCACTAAATAGCATGATTCCCGAGGAAGGTTTAAGTATTTAATTTCTTAAGTTTTTTTATTTATTTCTATGCATATTGACGATATTTGTTTAAGTTGTCAGGAAAAAATGAGCCGTCTGAGATCTTTTGCGAAAACAAGCAGCGTTTCCTTAAAATCCTTTAAGATATAAAAAAAATAATTTATGGTGAAATTGAGTATCTCATATTGCTTTGCAGAAAAGTCCGCGATAGTATATGTCTATTTCTCAAGCATAACATACTGTATCTAATTTACTGGTAGCTAGTTTAAAATAACGGTTACATAATTATGTTTATGTCTTATATTAAATATTGGCTCCACTTAAAAAACGATCAGGGTAATTGAATATAGTTTTTGTAGACCAATATTTTCTCCGGCATTTATTCACTGGCCTTAATATGATATATAGTATTTTGGCATTGAGTGCATCCATATGTAGATATAAAATACAAATATGGTAGCAAATATTTAATTTGCTATTGAATAAATAATTCAAATATTTTCTCTTATATTATTAATTAATCTTTATTATGTTTCAGATATCCAAATCTGTAACGTAAAACCCGTGTCATCTCGCCGTACATGGCCGGCGGGCGTGCCGGAGCCAGTACGCAGGTTCTACGTGTGTAACGACGTGGACACATTCCTATGTGACCGACCGTTACATAAACCACCCATAGATAAAGATAACGAATTCAAGGTTAGTTGAATATTACATGTATGGTATTTTAAATAATCAAGTCGATGGTGGCCTAGTGGTTAAAAGGCACGCCTCTCATGCATGAGGGCGCGTGTTCGATCCTGGCCCGCCTAATTACCAATCTGATTTTTCCGAGTCATATGTACTTTCTGAAAGTATTTAGACATCACTGATTAATGCATTCCCAAAGAGGGTTGATGTCAGGCAGGCGGCCGGTCGTAAAAACAATTAGCCAAAACTATTCACAACATGTAAGGCAGACCCTGGCTAAAGCTGCGAAAATTGCCAGGTAGAAGGAAGGTATTTTAAATAATCATAGGAAGTGTATCATAAGAGTGATTTTAGTTAATCATCCAGGAATGGCGTATATGTGAATCAATTACGGAATATGAAAAATAATAATAATTTTAATATTTTGGTTATAAATAACTATTAAGATTTTTCAGAGGAATTTAACATTTGCCAGAACAGTGCATTCGGTACATGTTAATAATTATATTAGTTTGAAATATATGTTCCACTCTGTTTATTTAAGAAAATATATGCGTTAATAATATTAAAATGTTTGTCTAGTCTAGATTTTGACATTTCACATTTTTCAAATACAATAACCGCCCCTGAATGTTGACATAATTGCATTTTGTGAGTAACAATAAGAGGAAATAAAAGTTACCTGTGTTATAAATCTGCATTAAGTTAAAAGAGGCATTCAATATAATTCTCTGGTTTTCTATACTATAACTTTTCTTCATCACTTTTTAATTCAAGTGATTTAAGAAAATAATTTTTATCCAAAAAGGTTAGCATATTGTTTACAATACATATTTAAATATTTTACCAACAGTGATGTACCCTAATCTCATGATTTCCTGTTAGTTTTGAAGCAAAAAGAACAGTTACTAAATTGCAAAACACACTAATAAAAAAATAAAAAAAATATTAATATATCCATATATGTATTTCAGAGTTTATGGATCGAGCGTACAACACTAGTGACGGAGAATACTCTACCAGGAATATTGAGGTGGTCGGAAGTTATATCAAGATCAGTTGAAGAAATACCACCTGTTGAAGTAAGTATATACGTAAATATAAATTTATTAGTGACTATGCTTTTGATATCATACATTTTGACAAATTATTTAGTAGCACTAAGCTTAACTGTATATACTAGTAATCAAAAAGTAAAAAAAAATAACAATCTTTATATATACAATTCTTCTGTGAGTGAGTATGTCACTGAACTTCTCTCAAACGACTGGACCGATTTTGATTAAATTTTTTTGTGTGTTCAAGGGTATCTGGGAATGGTCTAGATTCACAATTTTGTCCGCTGGACAATGTTTTTTTAATTAAATTTTTAAAATAAAAATTGCGTAGTACGTCCGACAAATATTAGTATCATTTAAATCTATAATATTTGATCAGTCTTAGAAATATTCCACACGATAAATTTCAACTTGTGCAATCTCTTCCTATAGTTCGCCTGCGAAACAATGGAAGCTACGGAGCGTGAACTACGTTCACTCATAACTCAATACACGGCGGATCCAACGCAGAATCTGAACCCGTTCTCAATGAGGCTTCAAGGGACGATCGACGCTAATGTACAAGGCGGGATCACCAAGTATGAACAGGCGTTCCTAACACCTGAGTTCAGTAGAAACGCAACACCAAGAGAAGCAGCCGCGGCGGCCAAGTTACGAAGACTCGTGTCCTCACAGCTGGCGGTCGTTGAGGCGGGTCTCACTTTACATGGTCGATTAGCTCCAGAGGATGTGAAGCCGTTGCACAGGTATGGTAATGGAAATACTTAGAAATGTAGAGATTAAACCTTTTATCATTTAAAGATTTCATCTTGCGGGTGCCGGGTCCTTCGTTGCAGGGAGAGGAGCTTCAACAGTGCCTGGGACTTGCGACCCAGGTGTAGGTTTAAGGGACCCCTATGTAACGCGCGTTAAACGCTCACCTCAACTGTCCAAGCTCCTCTCTTTACCTAACCACATATTCCACAAATAGTGTATCTTTGGTGCTTTCATAAATATATTTCTTTGGTTTTTTGTGTAACTGAGCCATTTTACTGATTTTTCTTCAATTCAGTGTTATATTACATGTAGGGAAAGAAATATAATTCTTTCCTTTATATATGTATCTTATTCCTTACATTAATGTAATTATTACAGGAATATTGTACTGTATTATTGTTTCAGACGTCTGGTAGAACGTTTTACCCAATTAAGGCAGAATTTGGGACCGGGTCTAGCACGAGCCAGACGTCAGCTATCTGAAAGCATTGTGAAGTGAGTGAAGTAATATGAACATAATATGTATTATGAAAAACACATGTAACTTATATATATTTTACAATAATGTTTCTAGCACTCCTTTGCCACCGGTTCCTGCGTTGGATAAGAGGTCACATAGTATTCAACAAAACGACGGCTATTATGAGGAAGGACATCTATACAATAAGCCAATTGTGAGTGACATTTTAACTAATAATTTTAAGTATGGCGTTTCGGGTGAAAAATTTTTTGGAGTTTTCAAGCAAAGACAGTATAAAATGTACATATATGGATAACTAATTTTTGCCCGCGACTCTGTCAGAGTTGTGGAGTTCAGTACCAGGGTTGTTTTCTGTACTACCCATTGTGCCTTTGAATCCAAACTAAACTTGATGGTTCCTTGTAGTTTCCGGATCGGGATACTAAATATTAGTATTAAATTTGTGGTAGATGAGATAGATTTGGGGAACAAGTGATATTGCGGATTGGATATGGATTTTGAAGACAGTTTCAGTAATGGAAAAGAACATTTGGATTATATTTATATACAACAAAAAAATTATATGGATATATGTATATAAAAAATTACTTACTGAGATTGCTATAATATTACTAGCTGCGCAGCGGTGTTACCCGCGGATTTCCGGGATGTAAAGTAACCTATGTGTTTTTCCTGGACGTCAGCTTCCTGTATACAAAATTTTATCAAAATCGGTTCAGCCATTTGAGCGTGAAGAAGTAACAAACATACACACACACACACTCACAAACTTTGGCAATTATAATATTAGTGGGATGTTAATATTTTTAAATGCTTATTTATTTTCGTTTTCTTACCAGAAATAATAAAATAATTCACCCGTAACATCGTTAAGACAGATGTAATAATGTTATCTGAAGATATATTTATGCTCAAATATCCCTTGTGGGTCAAGTCACTTATGACTAACATGAGTGAAAAATATAACATAGATATTCAGTTGCATAATCGAATATTTCATCCATAAATAAGAGGTTTACAAATGCTAGTAGCAATAAAGGCCATTACGAATTTAATTCTTGAATCCTACTAATATCGTAATTGCGGAAGTTTGTGAGTGTGTGTGTGTGTGTATGTTTGTTACTTTTTCACGCTGAAACGGCTGAACCGATTTGGATAAAATTTTGTATACAGGAAGCTGACGTCCAGGAATAACATATAGGCTACTTTACATCCCGGAAATCATAATTATAATATCATTTATTATTTCCAGTATTCAATAGAGGATGCGATAGAGCAGCAGAGCGTTATAATGTCTTGCAGTCTCCCGTCAGCTGACAACCGTGACAGTGAGGAGTCTATGATCAAGTCAGCGCCGCCGCTACCGTGTAGACCCAAGTCTGGGGACCCGCGGAGCCCTACTAGACCTTTGGAGAAATATCGGTTAGTCAGGAATTTTAACATAGAAAATTTACTAATTAGCTTCTTGATAAATAATATACAATGAACAGTAATTTAAACTGAAATTGGAAGACATATAAAATTATGTTTCGTGGAGTCCCTCCGTGGAAAAAGTGAAAATACGTAATGTTGGAATGAAAACGGGGAAGTGCAAAAAATGATTTTTAAGATTTGTGTTGTATTTTTTTATTAGGAAATTTACTAACATTACTAATAAGACAAAATTGATTGCCGTTCGGGCGACACGCATTCCCTTTCTCTCTCTTTTTATCCTTTCCACATTCCGGAATGCTAAAGTTTTTACGCAACCTTCTTGGAAGTTGCATAAGAAGTTTCACTTTAAACCGAATGAGATAAAGACCTGAGACTCAAAATGATTAGATTATGAGATGAGGTGTATTAAATGAAATGTTTATATATGTATGTATATACATATATGTATAACTTCAAATTCCTATTTTTTATAATAATAATTATTATTATACTATTGTATATAATATGTTTCAGAGAGGAGGAGGTTGAAGCTCGTCGTCACAGTCGCGTCAGTTGGAGTGAGCCGGCCGACGCGCCGCCGCTACCGCCGAGAGTATCGGGCGGTACGTTATATATAATACACCTAGATATATAAGAGTAGGTTAATAATATATGTCATACGGTAAAATGAATTTCTTATCTTCTAAAAAGTTACATTTTTTTACATAAATAAGATAAGAAAACGTTCGAGTAAATACTTTTTACTTGAACATTTTCTTCATACTTTTTATATAAGCTTCCTATTTAACACACATTAATGCTAATGTTTCAGTAAAATCTTATTTACTTCCAAACAAAATTTACTTTTCAGACGATCAATGATTTATATTTTAGACCCATGTATTACATATAAGAATCAAATAAAAATCAAAGCTGTCGCTTCAATTAATGAGATCATTAGATCTCACATCTCGCGAAAGTCTTAACTTTCGCAAGTATTCATTGAAATGAAACAATTTTCTTTCCGATTGCTATACATATTTTATTATTGTGAATACGATTGTTACAAAGTAATTGAAACGTCGGGATTATGTCGTTTTTAAAAATAATAAAACACGCGTAGTAATCCAAAAAATATTACTTTCTTTCTCTTAACTCTTGCTTGTAAAATATTTATAGTCATATATAATTGACAGGTGACAAGCGTTGGGGCGAAGCGCCCGCGGTCCCTCGTCGTGGCAGAACAGATGAACGTGATTCAGGAGTCAGTGTGGACCATCACTACTCTAACGCGGACCACAGCGCTGAACACGGTTATACATATTATACTTCTTAATATTTTAAGATGATAAGTGTTGGCAGTATTATTGTTACGGTAATATTTATACACAAGCTTTCCGCCCGAAGCTCCGCCCGCGTGGAGTTCGGTTATATTGCGTTTCCAAGAGAACCTTTCAAAAGTCTGGGATAAAAACTATCCTTTGTTCTTTCTCAAGGTCAACTCTATATCTGTACCAAATTTCATTAAAATCAGTTCAGTGGTTTAGGCGCGAAAGCGTAACAGACAGACAGACAGAGTTACTTTCGCATTTATAATGTTAGTAGGGATTTATAAAAAAGGTTTTAGTGCTTAGATAATCATATGTTGTTTTAAATGTGCGTGATTTTGGTAATTGAATATATGTATTTATTGTCACTATATCTTCAAGGAGGTAATTAGAACTGACGGTATAAATGTTTAAATGACTCCATTACAATACTATTAACATGATATTGGTTCTTATTATAGCTATTCCGATCAATCCCCAGTCTCTACACTTCTTATTAATGATATTTATTTCCACATATATAGATTTGGAGCTAGTCGAGTCTCTGCGATATGAGGAGATAATATCAATGATGTCTGAACCACTTCAAGTGGACGAAAGTGAAACACCACCGCCCATACCACCGAAAGGATTGGGGCATTTAAGCAGCTTCGACTCCGGACATCATGAAAACGGGGAGTCGCATTGTTAATGGAAGACAAAGAAGATAGAGACGGCGGCGTGTGTGAGAGAGATAGAGATATGTAGTAAAAACAGTTGGAAAGATATAGCTATATTTGGTAAGGATTTGTGGGAAAGAGATAGATGTATTCACATGTGGGTAGTTTCAAATGAACACCAGATGTAACGCTGAGTTAATTTTTATATATTTTGATTTTGTACTTTTATCTGTACCCATATCAATATGTGGTGGTACCCATATTGATGGTATCTGTACCCATATTGATGGTGGTTTATTTGTTCAATAATGGTTTAAGTGTGCCATAAAAGTATTGAATTTTTAATTCGGACCTCGAATTTTTGATAATCTGTATTAAAATGGCTTTAAATATTCTGGTGCACCCACATTTGGTAAAGAGCCCGTTTGAATTTGTCACCAAAATATATTTCAATCTTAGTTTAGAAGTTTCATATCAGTCTACATTGGGAAGTTTTTGAGATTTTATCTTTAATTAGTATTATATGTTGTGTGTTAAAGCAAAAATACTTCCGACATAAAGAATTGCCTCAGCGTAACTTCCATTGATAAAAAAGCGGTGTGCCAGTGAAACGAATGCACAAGAAAAGTATCAAATAATCTATTTTTATAGATGTAGAATATTCGTGCTACATTTATATTTGTATTAATTTGAGCTATATTTCCAAAGTCCTAGAGTTGATTTTGAAATTAATCCCAGTAGGGGTTTAATGAGCCGCAAGTTAATTAGGGCGCCTATTCGAAGCTTTCAACTATTACATAAAGATGATAAATTGCTCTCATATTTTATCAGGCGCTGTTTCGCTCGGAGATTTAATTTTTGCATATCATTAACCATTCTATAGTAAATTAGACTAGTTATAAGTAGTTATAGGTTTCATTGCTTTCATGCATTTAGTTTTATATCGGGGCCATATAACAGGTGATAAATAAATTAGAATACTGTTCTAATATTATATCGGAGCCAAAAATAGACTGACTTCAAGGAATTACAATTTTAATTAATGCAATTTTGAATTTAATTTAAACGTTTTTTCTTACGTTGTACTACATAATTATGAAAGTATTTTATTTTTTAACCAAATATTTTATTATAGTTTTAATTATATTCTTATCTCGTATAGGAATGTTGCTCTGAAGCGGTGATAATTAAGTGTCAAATAAAAGATGTATTTTTTTGCATATTTTATTTATATTTTGTATCGAAATATTTTTGCTAATGTATTTTTTTTAGTATATTATTTTGATGCAATTTATTTTTATATAACATTCATACTTTGAAAGTTTAACCCAATTTTGTTTATACAGTTTTTAAGTATCGTAAATACTTCCCATATTCAATAAATTTTTTTATCATTTAGATGAACCTTTTTAAAGCTATTTTGTCTTACATATAAAGAAAAAATATCACCACGAGTTTATTGTTTCGCATATTTAGTATAGAAATCACATACATTTTTGTCGTTACTTCAGCATTAATCATTGATTCTCAACATACAATCATTTATCATAGTGTTATAATTATATATTATATAATAAATCAGTGCAATCCATTATTTGTAAATTTGTTGTAATCTTCCGCGACAATATCTCCAATACCCTCAGCTGTATTCGGCTTTAATTTTTTGATCTCCTTTTTTTGATGAACGAGATTTTTACTTTCTATACAACTATAATAAAATTTTAAATTTTTGGATTTTTTGTGTCTTGTACTGCATATTTCGAGGTCTTTCCAATTACAGTGATATTTTTTATTATAAATATTAAATAGATTGTAAGTATGTTTCGTATTCGTTACGAAGCTGTATGTTTAATCTTGTAATTCTAGTGTAAGGCTTATTTACATTATTATGTTTGTGTGGTTGATGTTGTTAGACACTATATATGACTTATTTCTTCTAAGATTTTTTCAAAAAATCATTTTAGATTAGTGCAGAATTAATTACCGAGGTTTCCGTATTACTTGAATCGACTATTGATTAGTCGCAAGGAATCATAATATATGTGTATATCTGGATCAAAAGTTTTTTAAACCGAAAACAATATATTAAAATGAAAAACATTGAAAAAGAATCAGAATATGACCAAAATTAAGTTGTAGGTACAAGGTATATAGGAAGGAGTTATTTAGAAGAGTATTACTAACAAAAGACTATTACTTTTGTATTCTATCTTTTACGACAAGATCTCAAAATTGATATTAATAAATTCAAATAACCAAGTGTTTGGTTTTCTATTTTTATTTTATACAAAATATTTTTTTTAATGACAAGGTACTATTAGTTATGAAAAAATATCTTAAATTATTTAATGTAAAATATTTTAATTTCTACATTATTTTAAGGCTAATCTTAAAAAAAAAACACTTCAATTCAAAACTGATAATTTCACATCGAAATATTTCTTAAAAAAATCAGTGGTCTTTTTGGTTCTGGGTATTTCTAGTTATTGAAGGTATAAACAATACATATGTATAACTATTATAAGTTTTCATAATGATGTCTAAGAATTTTTAATGTATTCATTTGAATAAAACTAATATTTTCGGATATACTACGTATTTTTTTAATATTTTTATTTACATAGGTATTCCCGAAGTTTCGATTACTTTGTATCGAAACGTATGCGTAGTACATCCGAAAATATTAGTTTAATTTATTATAAGTTCTCTCAAATGGTATCAAATGGTAAACTACGAAATAAAAATATATAGTGCGCTAACTAACGTAGGTACTTTTAATAGCAGACTAAAACATTATTTTTCTGTCTTAAGTCATAAATAGTGTTTAGCGCTACAGTATTGAGTTACCTAAGCATATGTTTTGACTGATATTACTCTACGATTATTTCAATATCTCTGTACATCTGTGCGTATGTCTCAGTAGTTGTAGTCATTATAATCCAACCAAAAAAAAACTTTCTACTATTTTTATATAGCGTATGCATTTGCATTGAATTTGTACTTCGCTGTCATTGGATAGTTTAAATTTCGCACCATTTAAACTTCGAACAATTTAAATGAATAGTTTAAATTTCAATAAGTAATTTAAATTTCGAACGTTTGATGAATTCTGTAATCTTTTAATCTAAATCTAATTTTAATAATACATTTTTCTTGTTATACTTATTTAAAATATTCATTGACAGTTGTGGAATGTGTGACGCCAAATGAAATTGTTAAGTACAAATCGTAGCGGAGATAGTTTTTAAATGGTTTTTGCTGGATAGGTAATGTAATACGCTGGTTTGATTAAAATGTTAAGCATGGGCGGAATAAATATTTAGAAGAATATCACTTGTTTTATTTAATTACTAACCTTATTGTTATTATTTTAATGAACTGTATATAACTCAAAGAATTAAAGCATGAGAGAGATTTATAATTTTACACTAAAAATTGTGGCCAAAGACTTGAGATTTAGTTATATTATAAGGTTAAATTCTTTTACTAATTATTTAGTTTTGGACTTAGACGAGTATCATTTACTGATAAGTTTCATGATCTGAAATTAAGTATAATAATAATTAAACATAATAAATGTAGAATTAATTTCAGTCATTGTTAATGGTAGGTACTATTTTCAAACAGCACTTTTTCTTTGTAATTTTATATAAATATACTTAGCGTTTTATTGTTAATTAGGAATTGTACCTAACCTAATTATCCCTATTTCTTCTTTTTTAACGATTCCATTAAAGGATAGCTTTTGATGACACACATAAGAAAGCAACTGCATTTTCCAAAGAAATATTTGTGCATTCCGGACGTAATCAATTTTGTTCATATAACATTAAAATAGAAGATAAATGTATAGTTATATTACCGAAAACTTGAATATACAAGTGAAATTCCATGAGTTTTAACGGAATTCCCCGATCTTCCCACAATTTCTGTTGCAATCAAATAAATATGAAATTGCCTGTATCTTACTGTATCCAAACTAATTTTGTCACTTTTCATAGCTTACTTAGGCACCATTTTACTAGTAGATACTTTATAATTATAATATTTTCATGTTTCTGCAATTTGCAACATCCTTATCGGGAAAATATATTTGAAAAAAAAAAACAAAAAATACCTAAGAACAGAATTTGATATAATTTTTAAATCTAAACATTAGTTATATTGTTACAAATATTTAAACAGAACAATTAGGTGTAAATGGAAAGTGTTCGACACACCGCCGTCGGCGACTGTCGAACTTATATTATTGTATTTATCGACGCAATTCCTAAATAATAACCGCTCTTGCACTTTAATTGAAGGTAGTCGGGTGATCGGGCACGCCTAGCTACACGGTGTTAAGGTGTGCCAAACAAATCTTAAGATATATAAAACTATATTTAAAATTTAACACCCAAGTAAATATAAATTTTAACTTAGTAAGCATAAATATAAAACATTTAATCTTGTATCAGTATCAGAAATTAATATAAACACCGCTTTGAGTATAAAGTTTTATGAGAATCTATTTTATGTAAATTAAAATGAGATAGATAATTGCAGAAAATAAGAGCAATTATCTTTTATTATTGCACTTTTTATATTACATATTTTGTCTTAACTAGCCGTGTGTGTCACACTTACGAAAGATACGTAACATATTAGTTTCTGAGACATACTCGCTGCCCTTAATGGTCAAAGTTTGACAAAATTTGACACCATAATTAGGGAGCATCTAAAGGCCACGGTACATCATCTGCTTTATTGCAATATTTATTACATAACCCCCAATCTGTAGAACAATAACAAGATTCATAGAAAAATCTCATTCATTTTATTCAATTGATATTACGATACAATTTGTTTTGTTCCATATTTTTAATCAAACAGAGGTAACGCAAACTTTTGTTTAGTTTTTGTTTACAGTAGTAACTAAAAACCTATTTTGTCTAATTGAAAATCCTACTGTGATTTTAATGGGATACGTCAAAGAACTTTGTATGTAATGTCGGAGTTCTCATATTAAAAAAAGGTTCATAAAAAGTATTTATATGAAAATTTTATATTAATATTGTTCTTTATTTTATGTTCAGTACTTATCAGTGTCTTTAACGTGTTTTATAAGTGATACAGATATGATATAAGAAGCATTCAGTCACACATTCTGCAAAGCTCTATACGCCTCCCCATTGAAGCAGAAAAACTGTCCTATTGTGTATTAAATAATGTCTCAAGTCCAAAAGAAGAAATACGTCAAATAAATGTTAGTTGATTGATTGATAAGCAACGTAATTGTAATTGAATTTATGTCGACTCGATTGTCTCAAGTTTTTGTATTTTTAAAAGCTATCTTTATATAAAAATATCCTATAAAATGGTGCAAAATGGTAAGAAGGAGAAATTGTATTGATTGAATATTGAGTAAGTATAAATGTCTGTAAAAATAAGTATGATTGTCCGTAACTTTTAATACCGCAAAGCTTTGCAAGTTTTAGATAAAAAACAACGTTCTAATCAATTTGTGTGACTGTATGAAGATATTTTCTGGCGTATATATAAACTTCGATTATATTTAACTAATAATTATGATCGTATAAATTATGACTTCCCACAAGTAACTATTACAGTGACATTCTTTAATAAAATTTATATTTAAAAGTGTGTTGTCACAAAATGCCAAATTACACAGCCATTAATCACTTGGTAAGCGAAATGCAGTGTGAGTTCAGCCGCAATAAAGGCCCGCAGCTATAAACGCTAAGATTAAGACATGTCCAATAATAAATCTATAAAGGTTTGTTTTAATATTATATTATGTTAAAATTATTTATCATGTCATATATACAGTTATATACAAGCAATCAATATTTATGTTGGTAACTAAAACATATTTCGAGAGAAATCAAATCTGAAAGCTAAAGCTTTTTTTGTTGCACTGATCACCTATGTAATTTAAAAAGAAATAATAAAATAGTTTATTTACCTTTTAAATGCGAATTGTTAAAGAAGTTAATTAATATGATATAATTTAAAATGTACCTACACCTCGATTCAGCTGTAATGTGATTCTTTGTGTAAGTGTATAAAATTGCTTTAACAGTTAAAGCTGAAAAGTAAGTTAAAATAGTTATAAACCTGTAAGAATAATTATAAATGTTTATTAATAAATTAAATATTAGTTTCAGTTTGATTTTTAAAATTAAAAAATAGTAGAGTACTTCGGTGGGTCGATTATTTTTAATTCGTAGTCCCAAAGGAAATATAAAAACCTCTTTAAAGTACTTACTTCTGTTAATAAGATTAATAAGATATCAAAAAGTCACATATATTTTTTAATTTTAAAACAAATAGAAGAAAATAACGCAGTTTGACAGAAAACCTCACATATTTTTCAAGAGAAAATATTTTTGTTTATAATTAGAAAGAATATTTATTGGTAGCGATGGCTGTTTCTTTGCCCATGGAGTCAAATCCTGAAACTATGAACAAATATCTTCAGAAGCTTGGCGTTTCTAACAAGTGGCGTATGGTTGATGTTATGGGTTTAGAAGGTGATCCATTGAAATGGGTGCCACGGCCAGTTCTCGCTGTTATTCTATTATTTCCGCTTTCTGAGCATTATGAAAGACATCGCTCTCAGCAGGAGAACGAGCTACAAGTTGAATCTCAGCAACCTCCTAAGGACGTGTTCCATTTAAAACAAGTGCTTAGTAATGTGTGTGGGACAATCGCTCTGGTGCATAGTGTCGCTAATAATACTAATACCATAGATTTAGAGGATGGCCTTTTAAAAGAATACTTAAAGTCCGCTTCGGGCTTGGACGCAGCGGCTAAAGGCGCTCTTTTGGAGAACTCAACAAATATTTTAAGAGCATATGAGGAAGTTTTAAACTCGCCGAACAATCCTGCTAATGAAGACAACGAACCCGTGAACAATCATTTTATAACATTTATCCATAAGAATGGTAATCTGTATGAGTTGGATGGTCGTAAGTCAATACCTATTAACCACGGTCCAACGACCCCGGAGACTCTGTTAGAGGACTCTGCCAAAATTTGCCTGGAATTCATAGCTCGCGAGCCAGATAATATAGGTTTTAATGTCGTTGCTCTCGTTCCAGCTCAATAATGTTATATATGAATGTAGTATTTTTAGTGTGTCAATAAAAAATAAACAAAGGGCAAGACATTGGTTTTAGTGACTCACTGCTCCGTATTTAGCAAGGTCTCAGATGATGATAAATCGCAAGTTACTTTTCAATGTTCACATCTCAATTAATAAAACGGTGCACACTTAACACGGCTTCTGCATTCCTCCTTAAAATTCTCTATCTTCGGAAACTAATTAAAAATTCGCCTCGGCCCCGTAGCCTTGTGTTCAATTGGGACGGTATAACTTCATTTATAAACGAACAATCTTGTCCCAGATAAGGGCTGGCGAGAAAACAACGAAGAGCGCAACTCGCCACACGCGTCTGCGATGCGACCAAGAAAAAGGAAAAATTAAACAAACAACCTCAAACTTTTAAATGGAACGCGAGCGAGCAGCGTTAACTATGGCGATACTGGGAAGGACGACATCGGTAAGTCACGTCACCTAATAAATGACGCTGGCTCTAAAATAAATATATAATATTGTATTTGTGTAAATAAACAAAATAATGCGACGGGAACCCGAAATGCTTTAAATATTCAAATGAAGCGAGCCGAGGTGAAATACGAAGGTGCGCTCGCTCGAGTTGAGCCCAATTAAATCGGTGCCACTGAGGTAGAAATTAAAAACAAAAGGAGGATGACGGGGGTCCAGCGCGCATTTTTCTCATGAGTATTATTAGCGCGATGTCAACCCACAAAAAATGGACTTAGAGCCTTGTCGTGCCTGTGATCATTATCGATAACATACAGCATTTTGTATTGTTTTGATAAGTTTGATGCTCTTCCATTGGGACGTTTTGTTGACGTTTTATTCGCTCTACACATATGATCGATACGGGGTCTAATACGTTGAGACTGTCTTTAAAATTGCAATGTATTTTTTTCATTTAGAACTGAAACGAAAATACACAGACAATTACGATCGTCTGTCGGGTATTTGTTACAAAATATCACAACAGCATCGGTCATGGTAATAACTCACGCTGGCTCGGTGAGAACAGATTTAATATTTGCCTATAAATCAATTACAGGCGTATAGGCTCTTAACGCTCTGTTATTGTTACTTTCTTCTATAAGATAATAATAAATTATCTAGGAGTATACTCTGAAGATTTTATGAGTATTGAATATATTATATATAACAGACATTTACACAAAGGGTTTAATTGTGGTTGTGAAGTCTTTAAACATGTGGGATATAATTTAAAGAAAATTATCATTTTAGTAACATTCTTATACAATATGTTACAAGAAGTTTAACTCTTATATTTAAGAACATATTCAGATATGTATACAAAGTAAAAAGTATATCCTATTAGAATAAGATTCATTAACACCCATCTCGACCTCCATACAAGAGCTCGATTTATTCAAACAAAATACATTTATTTTAGACAATGAGGATCTAAGTGCTTATTGGAAGGCTGCCTCCTACCAAGCATAATAGTCTATTATTACACAAAGGAAAATTTACATTGCGCGTTGACTAAGCTTAGTTGTAAAAGGATATGAGGGATTAAGTAATGTAGGGTGATTTATGGGTAAGTTTATGTATATGATAGTGTGTAAATGATGTTTGGTTGCGAGGAACCCAGCGGGCGTCCCGCGGCGGCCTACCGACGCTCATCACTATTCAATAAGTTCCATTTATTGAAATTACATAATTTGTGTGTGAATAATGACGATTGTGATGGATCTTCGTGGGCGATGCGAGCGACTTAAACCCGATTAACTTTTGACCGCTTCGAGATATTAATAACCTGTCTATTCAACACTGCATTACTTGCACTCACGTTTATCGTTTACAACTTTGAGTATGAGCTCTCGAAATTGTTTAAGTAAAACGCACAAAGACTTTAAATGTTATATGATTGTTAAGAAAAGCTATAATATATATATAAAGTATAAGATTCGGTAGTAATAGGTTTTGAAACGATCACAATTACTACAGTACTTGATTTCATATTAATTTGTTTGTGACATTGCAGTATGAAGGTTGCAATTCACATGATTTATACTTCAAGCATACATCCTGTGAACTGTGGTACATTAGTCGGTTATGATTTATGAATACATAATGTCTGTTTTGGTCACAGAATTAACCACTATTAGATGGTTTGTACACCAATTCAAAAAGAACATATATTGGTTACTTCATTACTAAATTATTATTTTTCTAGCCAATGCTTTAAGTCTTAATACAAATAGGTTATATGTTGCCAATTCAAACCTTCATCCATTTAATCAGCCAAAAACTAAAACCACAAATATACGACTTACACCTGAAAGCTACAAAACAACTTTTATAAACTACATAATAAACGCATGGCCATACTTGTATATACATGTTAAATCTTCATCATATAATGAGTAGGCGTCTTTATGTGAAAAGTAAAATATACATCGGGCCGTCCTCAGCCACGAAGCTTTTACGAGTTCTGAGAAACTCGAAACACGAACCACGATCTCTGAAAACGGTAAATTGTCTAAATTAAATTAGGCGGAGGCTGGACCTCGTGACCTGACTCCAAACTGAAGTTAGATATATTTAAGTCGAGGAAGTTATAAAACCAGATAGACGGACATTCCTCAACGTTGGAACAATTTGTTTAGGTGCAACTTATGTTGAATTTATGTTTACCAATTTCATACACCATATACACATCGTAGTACAAGACCTAAGTATTTATTATTTTACATACATTCTACAATTTAAAGAAGTATATAATAAAATATATGTATATTTCTTTTTATAGAAATTTACTTCTGCCAGAACCTAAATAAATATATTTTATATATTCTACATAAATTTTGATCACGGACCAAAAACAATTCTATTCCTATTAATTGACTACGTTTTCGCCTTATATTATAAGTAATTTTTTTGTTTACACAAATATTGAGATAAAGTTGAACACAGACGAACAAACGAGTAAATACCAGCTGTATTTAATAAAAAAGTAAGTAGCTATTTCAGTCCTTGATATATTTTAATCTTATACCCGGTCACTTACATAAATGACCATAATTTATTTATAATTGAGATAAATTATGACTCACATAAAAACAGGAATAAAATAGCAGTTCGGGGTTAAATCCGGCAGCGGCCGCCCGTGGAGCTTCTAATTCCACCAATTAAATTAACTTAAAAATATTGAAAGATACTTTATGATACTAACACTACAATATCTTTATAATATATAAACCATTGATCTAAAAATAAAATTAAGTACTCGTAGAAGTCACCAGTTAAGTTGTATTTTTTGGCATATTGCGCCTTATAGGTCATATCAAGTCAGCAATTTCTGCAATGTATTACATCTCTATCCGGAAACCAGATCCGTATTGCCAATATTGCTTCGCTTCTTATAATATAACAGATTATGGCGTCGTTTATATGTTGACGTAACACGCCATAAACTTAAAGTATGCTCGTATTTCGATTGAACTTTCTATCTGATTGGATTGTATGACATTTTATACATGTTACATAGTCATTTGGATAGAGACTCGTTCGAGATTCGTGGAATCTTTGTATGTCCAGTTAATTATTGGAGTGTTTGGTGGGGGTAGGAGTGGGGACTGGGTAGATTAATGAGCGGCTACCGCTGGCTTATCGCAGCATCTGGGCCATGAGTGATCATCTGTCGTGCGCCTGCGCTGCAGCATTAGTGATGATCAAACCTACCATCGACATGCCACTTTATTAGCTCAAACGAATACATTAAATTCTTATTATCAACCAAATTGTTTCTTACAAGTATATTAATTGGCAAAGGATTCGTGAAGTATATTGCAAAAATGTTATATAAAAAATCAACTATTCTATAAAGCAAGCTGTGTTATCAATTAAAATAAGAACTTAAATAGCACGTAGCTGTATAAAATATTATAGTGAATTTCTGTATCGACGAATCACATTTAAAGAAACATCGACACAGCATCAGGCATCACTACCCGTCGTGATATGACATTGGCCGCATTGCTTCCCAGAAATCATACTCATCGAATACCTTACGAGCCGCGTGTACAATTCCACCGGCTTTTTTTCTCTGCTCCATAGTTTTATTGGGTGCATTGAAATATTTTTGTTTAGATTAAACGACGTTTAGCCAGTAGATGGGTACATTAGGATTAATGTCGGACATCAGTTAGCTCAGTGTCCCCTTACATTGTTCGACACTGACGTTCAACTGTCATGGGTATTGAGTATTTAATGGTATGCTCAAAATATTGAATGACTCTGAAGGTATCGATACGATCTCAGTGCTACTGATTAATTATTCAAGCCTTTTTGTAGGTAGCCAATGATTTTGCATAAAGGTTGAACGTCCACGTACTGTTAACGAATTATAATTGAAAATTTATTTGTTTTTAATTCTATACAAATTCATTGTCTTTTAAGTAATGTTTATACTTTGTGCTATTTATAAGTAACACATATTTTTTATAAATTTATACCCTTGTTGCATTTCATCTAATGACTGCTTTGTTAGTACAAAATTTTTACAGTTCCTTCTGGCAGCGATACTTTCGAGAAATATAATCAAATAAAATAATTCATTTTATTTATTTAGTTAATATCATTAGCCGAGCCAGTCCAATAGGCAGCTAGCTAAAACAAAAGTAAAAGTCTCGATACTATGATCGTTCATCATACCCCTCATTACTGAACATTATCGATCGCCACAATCCAATTCTGAAGATCGATTGATTTGTATCGAGACATACACTGATCGAGTACCAACCTACATTCAATACATAGACTTTATAACAAAAGGTATAAAGGTTAAATTCCAATGAATAGTTTTATTGTGAGTGCTATCAATATGATAATGAGTACGAATTTTTCTATTGACATGCCCGTAATAAGTGTATGAGTTATAGCTTATTGTGCTTGGTAAAGATATGTTTTGGCTCATTTTAATCAAGCGTCTGTCTTTTAAAAAGCAATCGCTTAAGACTACTTTGCAT